TGTCTCTCCTCAAAAATAAAAATAAACATTAAAAAATTTTTTTAAAACTAACTTTATTTTCAGAAATATTTTTAAAAATTTAGAAGCAAATAAGTCACTATTAATAGTTGTATTTTACATTATTCTTGACATTCTCTTATCCCTTTATTTCCAAGAAACAATTTTCTCCTATTGTATTTTTTTGTCTTCCTGTCCCTCAGGTTATTTGGTAACCTTCTTCCTTCACCTGTCCTTTAAATAGTGGTGTTCTCCAATTCTGCCCTTGGCTTTATAGTCGTCTTAACTTTACACCTTCTCTTTAGATATTTTCATGATGACCTTTTTGAAAGAAGATACACATATGCACATGTACATACATACCCTCATAGAGTAAAATGTACACATGCCTATAGTTTCAAACTCTATAATTTCAGAGCCTATAATTGGCACAATAAGTAATTCTTTACTCATTTGTCTTCCCTAGAATTAACCACTGGGTTATCCTTCTAAAGAGATTATTTGCATCTGCTAGTACATATGTATTTGTAATTTTACTTAAATAATTATTCTTTTCGAAGTATTTTAATACAAATGGCAGTGTACTCTTTTTTTTTTTTTTTAAGTTTATTTTGAGAGAGCGTAAGCAGGGGAGGGGCAGAGAGAAAGAGAGTCCCAAGCACACTCTGTGCTGTCAGCACAGAGCCCAAAGTAGGGCTCAAACTCAAGAACTGTGAGATATGACCTGAGGCAAAATCAAGAGTCAGATGCTTAACTGACTGAGCCACCCAGGCGCCCCCAGTAGTATATTCTTCATACTTAATTGCATTTTTTCCACCTAATGATATGTAGGGGATCATTTAATGTCAGTATTTGGAGATCTGTTACGTTCATTTTAGTGGTTACATAGCATTAAAAAAAAATTTCTATCCCCCTTCCCCCCTACTGCACATTTTATTTTAGAATTCAAATTTACAGAAATATTTAAAAAACAGTACAATTAGCACCCACCTGTATACCTACCTAACCTTTTTTCTGTTTCTTTCCTGAATCATTTGAAAGTAAAATTGTAGCTATTGTGATAGTTTATTTCAAAATTATTCAGTATGTATGCCTTATGGACTAGGAATTCTATAGATCCACAATACCTTTATTACATCAAAGATTTTTAAGGTCAATGCAGTATTACCTATTATTAAGTTCATATTCAAATTTCTACAACTGATTCCAAATATCCTTTATAGTGTTTTTTCCTCTCTCCAGCTAGGAGCCAATCAAGAATTAAGATTTATGCTTGATTGTCATAGGCCTTTCATTTAACAACTATCTAAATAGATGACTAACCTAAGATCTCTAGATCCAACCCTTTACTGAAGCTGACTTAAATATCTATGACATATATTTATTTGGTTGTCACATTGACACCTCCAAAATAGCATGTCCAAAACAAATTCCGTGTAAGGGGCACCTGGGTGGCTCAGTCGGTCGAGCGTTTGACTTCGGCTCACATCATGATCTCACAGTTCCTGGGTTTGAGCCCCGTGTCAGGCTCAAACCTGAGCCTGGAGCCTGCCTCAGATTCTGTGTCTCCCTGTCTCTGCCTCTCACATGCTAATGCTCATGTCTATCTCTATCTCTCTCTCTCTCAAAAATAAAAATAAAAATTTATTTAAAAATTAAAAGCAAACTGTTTTCTGCTCTCAAACCTACTTTTCCTCCTATAGTCCCACCTTATTGAATGGTATCATTCAAATGTTGCCTTAACGAGAAGACGTGAAGTCATCCTAGGCTCTTCCTTCCTTAAGACTGTATGTGCTACTCTCTTTGCCTGGAATTCTTTCCCTATTTTGTCTACCTTTCCACTAGTTCATTCTTAATCAAGACCCAGATTAAGCGTAACTTCTTGAGCAAACCTTTTCTGACCCTTTTTTACTCCAGGCAGAATTAGATCTATCTCCAGTAGGCTCCCCTTGTATCCTGTACACGCATTTATCCCATCAGTTCTTACTTTGAGTGTGAATTGTTGGTTGATGTACCTGCCTTCTTGATTAGAAAGCAGGCTCCTTGAGTTCATATGGACTTAATTTTGTCTTCTATCCTGGGTGTAGTAATACAGTGCCTGGCTCATAAGTGTTTAATGAATATTTATTGAATGGAAGAATAGGTTTATAGATAGTCTTCTCTTTAGCAAGTAAAAATAAAGATATTTTAAAGCTTAACTTTACCTGGAATGCATTTGTTGAATTCCTACTACGTGCAGTTTCATGCAAGTAGTAAGACTGATTTTCTGCCTTGAAGAGAGGTTAAGGTGACAGGATTGGAGGGTGGGCAAAATGGGTAAAGGGGGGTCAAGAAGTACAACCTTCCAGTTATAAAATAAATCATGGGGATATAATGTTAACATGGTGATTACAGTCAGCAATTTTGGGTTGTATATTGAAAATAGCTAAGAGTAAATCTTAAAAAGTTCTCATCACAAGAGAAAAAATTTTGTAACTTTGTATGGTAACATACAAATAAATAGATAAATAGATGATAACTAGATTTATTATGGTGATCATTTTGCAGTGTATACAACTATAGAATTATTACATTGTGCACCTGAAACTAATATAATGTTATATATGTCAATAGTATATCAATTAAAAAGAAAAGAAAGGTTTGCGTCTACTTGAGAAGGTAAAACCAGTATACTACAGGGTTAAACAATACTAGAAAGGGGCACCTAGGTGGCTCAGTCAGTTAATCGACCAAGTCTTGATTTTGGCTCAGGTCACAATCTTAGGGTTTGTGAGATTGAGCCTGGCTTTGGGCTCTGCACTGACAGCATGGAGCCTGCTTGGGATTTTGTCTCTCTCTCTCTCTGCTCCTTCCTCATGCACTTGTTGCTCTCTCTCTCAAAATATTAAAAAAAAAAAAAATACTAGAAGGTAACCTAATTACCTGATAAATGATGCAGACAGGAACCTCAGGGAGAGAGAAGTTGGTGAATGTTTTTTGAGGACCTACTGTGTGCCAGTTACAGTTCTATGTCTTTGTAAATGTTATTTAATGTCTACAGCTTTTATTTTTGAAAAAAGGAAATTGAAGTTTGCTAAATAGTCCAAGGCCATACAGATAGTAAGTAAAGATTTGAACCTAGGTCTGACTGACTCCAGAAACATGCTCTTAAGTGTTCCAAAGGCAATTAAGAGAGCTATAAAGTGATACTGTAAATTGAGGGAAAAATAATATCCAACCGTAGGATCATTAAATTAATGGTATATCCCCACAGTGAAAGGTTATATAATTGCTACAAATCATGTGGTTGAGGAATATTTAGTATTTTGAGAAAGTGTTTGTGATATAATGTGTAGTACTAAAAAGCAATATATAAAAGCATGATTCAGTTTTTTTTAACGTACATATATTTTTGTGCAGAAAAGATTGGAAGGAAGTACATGGAATGGTTAGTGGTAATCCTCCCAGAGTTCTGGTATTACAGGATGTATGAATTTCTTCTTTGTAACAGTCCATTTTCTAAATTCTGTACAGTGAACATATGCTTTTATAATCAGAAAAAAAAGATCATTTAAAAAGGAAAGCATTAAGAAAAAAGAAGTTAAAGTCTTAGAATTATTAAATTTAGAAATGTTTAGTGTTGACCTTCCATGCCTCTGAAGGCCTGGAAGAACTGGCCTAAGCATCCCAGACAGATTAATGTTCCTATTTTAAGATCATCTCACCAGGATAAGCCACTGTCCCTCTGCCTTCCTGTCAGTTCTGTTGCCCAGTAGCAAGTGGAAAAGGAGTTTTCTTTGTATATTATTTCATGAAGACAAGGTCATGAGAGAAATTCCCATGTCTTGTGAAAATTTTCATTGTATAAAGATCCTTTTTTAAAATAAGGGCAAAATTCAATGCTCCTGCCTGGGCTTTATGCTTTACTTCATAAAAACACTGAAAAAAATTAAATATACTTAAGAGAAATTAGAAGAGAATAGAAAAACTTGGGTTTCCTATTAGTTTTCCGTCAGTTTTCTTTGAAAAGAATCATTCTATGCATGATGTATCTCTGTTCGTCCTCTGGGTGGCTATTTTTCTAGCGGAGCGTGTCTGACTGTCCTCATTGGGATTTAGCACACTCTAGTGGACAGTAACTTTTCAGTTTCGTTGGGCGTTTTTTCAAAATCATGTCAGATTATTTTATTGGATGATTCAGTGATATGCTTACTAGATAGTTAAGTTTGTCAATATTTATTTGAGTCAAGTAGTGATCCAAGTGAGCAGGACTGACTTTATAGGCCACTGGGGTGTTGTACATTTTTATATGTTTTTTTCAGTAGAGAGAAGAGAGGCTTTTTACCTTATGTGGAAACTTTCCCATTGGCTTTTATCTTTTCTCGGGTTGATTGAGAAAAGAGGCAGAGCTGAAATAAAAGCATTTGTTTAGGATCTCAGAAGTGCAACTTGGGGAGCACAGATTTTGGTAGCAACTCATATTGTGTTCCTTTAGGGTACAAAAATCCAGGGTTTAAACAAGACAAAAAGGAATGGGTTTCTTTTGTTGTTGTTTACAAATTATTTTGTCTGGTGTAGGCAGCAGAAAACTAATCTTGTCTGAATATAATTAATTGCTAGGTCTCTCTCTAAGCAAAGTCTCTCACTATAGCAAATTGCAGGTGTTTGGGCAGAGGCCTAAGAATATTTGTAGTTTGGCCCAGCTCAAAGTTCGTGGTTTTATCTGGTCATCTCCTTAATGGGCTCCGGCTCCATTTAAAAAATCCCGTGGCATGAATGATTCCATTTCATTTCACCTTTCCCATGGGTAAGATGAAATTGATGGACCAAGACATAGAGGAACACTGGTAGTCTTTCTGTATTTCACATTCCTTGGGACTTTTAGGACTCTTGAAAATTTTTATATAACTCTTTGGGAAAAATTCGACCATTTGTGCACAAACATGGTTGTAGCCTATCCTGATAGATTACTCTTGGAAATGGACTTCCACCAAAAAAAGTAATTTTTAATTTTGTTTTTGCAGAGTGATGGTGAAGATTTTAATTACATTGTTGCATTTTTCCTTGGAACAGCAGCCTGCCTTTACCAGGTAGGGTCTCTTCAATGTTTAAGAAACACTTTCCTGTTATTGTTTGTTTCAGTATCAATTATAATAATTGCTTGTGCACTTTAAATAAATAAAAATAATGTCTGAATTCTTTGCCTCTCTTTTAGTTTGAACCTGTTAGCTTTGTGACCTACATCTCCATTTTGAATGTAGTTAGATCCCAGTGAACTTAATGTTAACTCCCTCCTGTGCCTGGTTTCCGTGGTACCATGTCATCTGCCTGTGGTGATAAAAGCTACTTCTAGATTTTTTTTGGGTGATTTATTACTCAGCTTCAGGGCTCTGCTTATACATCAACATGAGAATTTTGTACTTTTGGGAAAGTCTTTGAACAGGGAACAACAAAAGCAGGATTTTAGGATATTTAATTCAGTAGTGAGGAATAGGGTGGATTGCCAGAGCGGAGAAATTGGAAGAAAGGAAATTAGTTGGAAGTCGATTCCATTAGTTCAGGCAGAAGGCAATGAGAGTGTAAATTCTGGTAATGCTGGTAGGAATGGGGGATGAGGGAAGGACATTGAGGAGGAAGACTCCTAGGACTTGAAGACAGGATAGATATGAGACTTAAGGAGCACGGAGTTTTTGCAGCTGGTAATATGGAGATGGGTACTCGCATTTCTAAGAGAGGAAGCACAGATTCGTAGGGAAAGGAGGGGTAGCCATGCCAGTTACCCAAACTTGGGAGTGTCTTTGCTGAAACACGGTAGAGCAAGCAAGACCTTTTGACCTAACTTTTATAAGTGACACATTTCTCTGGCTTACATAGAAAAAATGTTAGAAAGCTTCGCTTTGGGACTGAAAATATAAGGCTACCTAAAACTCAGTAGAAGTCTCTAGTGAAATACTTTGAATATATGCATTTGACTTTATGTAAAGATGGATTAAAAATTTTAGTTTCAGGGGCACCTGAGTAGCTCAGTGAGTTGAGCATCTGAGTTTGGCTCAGGTCATGATCTGTCAGTTCATGAGTTCGAGCCCTGCATTGGGCTTGCTGCTGTCAGCACAGAGCTTGTTTCAGATCCTCTGTCCCCCTTTCTCTCGCTCAACAAAAAAGTAAACGTTTATTAAAAATATTTTTTTAGTTTCAGGTGGTCCTCTTTTTTAAACTCCTCAAATTTTTCTGAATTACTTGTATTTAGAAATTTTCTATCTAGTTTGACAGATTTAATTATAATGAGCGACATTTCATGCAGGAAATGTGAAAACTTGCATTTGTTAATGTCACAAGTGCTTTAATTTTATGAAATATTCTTGGGTAGATTTTTTAAAACTTTAATCTCTGCTATCACACAGACGATATTATCTCATTTTTGAAGATGAGAAATTTGAGGCAGTTTGAGTCCTATCTGGAAATCACATGGCCAGTGAGTGCTGGAGTCAGGACCTAAGTCTAGGTCTTCTGATTTTAAATATTGTATTCATTCCACTATCTTAGGCTGTCTGTAAGCAAAATTCTATATTTGTATAATTTTTTATGCTATAAAATTACAATTTTATAATCTTTATATGCATTATTTCATATTCTAAAATAATGTGAGGTAAATGTTAACTTTAAAATAATTTCATGAGTAATTCTTGTAAAATGTACTTTTGGCTGTTTTGCCTTAATGAAATAATTTTAAATACTAATAATAACAAAGTGTATTGAGCTCTTATGTGTGCCAATAAGCCCTTTACATTCCTTGTACCATTAAGTCCTCACAGAACGTCCCACACTAAAGTTACCATTGCCATTTTTCAGTGAGGCCCAGATGTTCCTATAGCTGGTTAGTGACTCGAACTCCAGTCTTGGGCCTCCCAAGCAGTGGTGTTGCTCGTAGAGGCACACCTCTGCCACATTCCTCAAAATAGCTGAAAAGAGTTCTAAGGGGAGCACTGTTGCTCAGCTGTTCTTTTACTGGAGAGAAATTAAACAAATTCATGCTTTAAAAAAGAAAAGCAGAAAGCCAATTTTCTTCTCACTGACAGGAAGCTGCATGCTTTCCACATATGCTGAGCAGAGTGATAATAATGCTGGTTTTTTCCAGAGTGAAACATGTGATTACCTGTTACCATATAACATGCTCCATCTGCTGGTGTCAGGATTTTTTTAATCGTCGTTAGATCAGACCTGAATGGCTACCAGGCTCTGGGGACTTCTGGATGCACAGAGTTCAACAAGATAGGAGTCATCTTGCTATGGAACATTTGAAGTAGTATATCAAAGGACCTAGAAACTAGAGACTGTTCTTTTTTCCCCCTCAGTGCTTTACCTTGAAAACTTTCAGACTTCCAGAAAAGTTGAAAGACTGGTACACTTAGAGCCACCACTTTATAACATTTTGCAGCACTTCTGTCTCACTCTCTTTTTGTATGTGTATGCGCATAGTGTGTATGTTGTTTATACAGTAAGTTGCAGACAAATATGTTGAGTATAAAGTTGGTTTCCTTATTCAACTTTTTATTTTGAGATCATTATAATTGTTGTAAGAGAGATATATAATCTTTACCTGGCTTCCCCTAGTAGTACCAGTGTATACAACTATAATACATTATCACAACCAGGATGTGTGTGTCAGCACAGTGAAGATGTAGAATATTCTTATCACCACCCCTTAGGTTGCCCTTTTATAGCCACATCCACTTCCCTCCGGCCTCTTAATCTCTGGCAACCACTAATGTGTTCTCCATTTCTATAATTTTCTCATTTTAAGCAGTGTTCTATAAAGGGAACCATATAGGTTGTAACCTTTTGTGATTGTTATTTTTTTTACTCCTCATAATTCTTTGGAGATTTTTCCAGGTTGTTGCATATATCAATGTTTTTTCCTTTTTGTTGCTGAATGGTATGGTGTGGTGGCACCACAGTTTATTTTAATCATTCATCCATTGAAGGACATCCGGACTGTTTCCAATTTGGGGCTATTATAAATCTGCTATGAGCATTCATTTATAGGTTTCTGTGTGAAGATGAAGACTCATTTCTCTGAGATAAATGCAGCGGAGTGCAGTTGCTAGGTCTTATAGTAGTTGCATGCTTAGTTTTATTGAGACAGACAAACTGTTTTCCAGAGTGGCATACCCTCCAGCAGTGTGTGAATGCTCCCATTTCTCTGCATCCTTTCCAGCATTTGTTGTTATCACTGCTATTCTGGTCGGTGTGTAGTGATCCCTCGTATTGATTTTAACTTGCATTTACCCTGGTGGCTAATGATGTTGAACATGGTTTCTTGCACTTATTTGTTATCTGTGTGTCCTCTTGGGTAAAATGTCTTTTCATGTCTTTTGCCTCTTTTCTAATTGGGTTGTTTTTTACTGTCCAGTTTGAGAGTTCTTTGTATATTCTAGACATTAGTCCCATGTCAGAAATGTTATTTGCAAGTATCTTATCCCAGTCTGTACCTTGTCTTTTCATCCTCTTAGCCAGGTCTTTTGCAGAGCAAAAGTTTTTAATTTTGCTAAAGTTCATTTTATCAGTTTTTTCCTTTGTGGAAAATGCTTGAGGTTTCAGGTCTAAGAACTTTTTTTTTTTTCTTTTCACTGAAGTAGAAGTTGACGGGTAGTGTTACATTAGTTTCAGGTGTACACCATAGAGGTTGAACAAGTTTACGTGCTATGCCGTGTAGCTACCGTCTGTCACCACTCACTATTATAATTCCATCGATTCAAGAACTCTTTGCCTACCCCTAGACTCTGAAGATTTTCTCCTTTCTTTTCTTGTGAAAGTTTCATAGTGTTATATTTTACATTTAAGTTCATGATCCATTATTAATTAAATTTGGTATAAGATTGTATAAAATATGAGACTTAGATGATTAGATTGCAAGGTTTTTTTGTGTGTTTTTAGTTATGGGGATTTTTTTGCTTGTGGATGAATGGCCAGTTGCTCCATTTGTTGAAAAAGCTATCTTTTTCCTCCACTGAATTGCTTTTGCATCTTTGTGAAACATCATCAGTCAGGCATATTTGTGTGAACCTGCTTCTGTGCTTAGTATTCTGTTTCATTGATCTTTGTGTCAGTCTCTGTGCCAGTACCACATAGTTTTGATTACTGTGGTTATATAATCTGTATTAAGTTCCATTTTCTTAGTACTTACAGGGTTATTCAAATTATTTTTAGATGAATTATGATAGTTTGTATTTTATGAGGAAGTGGTCTATTTCATCTTCTCAAATTTATGTGTGTAGCGTTGGTCATAGTATTTCCGTACTATCCTTTTGGTGTCTGTAGGATCTGTAGTGATATTCTCTGTTTCATTCCTCATGTTGGTAATTTGGATCTTTTTCTCTAGCAGTCTTGTTAATTTCATTGATCTTTTCAAAGAACCTGCTTTGTTTTGTTGTTTTTTTCCAATATTCGATTTTATTGATTTCTTCTCTTTTATTACTTCCTCCTTCAAGCTTGCTTTGGTTTACTTGGCTCTTTGTCTAGGTTCTTGAGATGGGAGCTTAAATAATTGATTTGAGAATTTTCTCTTTTGCAATATATACATTTAGTGTTATAACTTTCCCTCTTTGAGCACTTTATTATCTGTGTTTCATAAATTTTGATATGTTGCCTTTTTTCCATTTTTTTGTTTTTTTTTAATTTTAATTTTAATTTTTTTCAAGTTTTTATTAAATTCCAGTTAACAGAGTGTAATATTAGTTTCAGGTGTAGAATCTAGTGATTTAATCACTTACAGCACTCAGTGCTCATCACAAGTACCCTCTTTAATACCCATCACCTTGGGGCGCCTGGGTGGCGCAGTCGGTTAAGCATCCGACTTCAGCCAGGTCACGATCTCGCGGTCCGTGAGTTTGAGCCCCGCGTCAGGCTCTGGGCTGATGGCTCAGAGCCTGGAGCCTGTTTCCGATTCCGTGTCTCCCTCTCTCTCTGCCCCTCCCCCGTTCATGCTCTGTCTCTCTCTGTCCCAAAAATAAATAAACGTTGAAAAAAAAAAAATACCCATCACCTGTTTAACACATCCTCCCACCCACTTCCCCTCCAGAACCTGCAGTTTGTCCTGTATAGTAAGAGTCTTTCTCCTGGTTAGCTTTTCTCTTTTCCCTCCCTGTGTTCATCTGTTTCTTTTTTTTTTAATTCCATATATGAGTGAATTCAAATGGCATTTGTTTCTTTCTGACTTATTTCATTCTTTTTTATGGCTGAGTAATATTCCATTGTATGTATACACCACATTTTCTTTATCCATTCATCAGTCAATGGATATTTGGGTTCTTCCATAATTTGGCTGATACATTGCATTTTTATTTTCATTTAATTCAATGTATTTTAAATATTTTTTCCTTGTGGCTTCCTCTTTGACCTATGGATTATTTAGAATTTTGTCTTACTTTTGTTTTGCTTTCAAGAGTTTGAAGATTTTTCAGTTTTTTTCTATTATTTATTTCTAGTTTGATTCCACTGTGGTTGGAAAACACTCTGTGTGACTTCTGTTCTTTTAAATTTGTTGAAATTTGTTCTATGGCTCAGAATATGGTCTGTCTTGGTATATGTCCCATGGGCACTTAAACAGAATGTGTTTTCTACTATAACTAAGTAAATGCTTTATAGTTCTCAGGTAGATCATGATGGTCGATGGTATTCAGCTTTTCTGTATCCTTGTTGATTTTCTATCTAGTTCTGTCAGTTGAGAGAGAAGTATTGAAGTTTTAAGTTATAATTGTGGATTGGTGTATTTCTCATTTAAGTTCTATCAGTTTTTGCTTTGCCTATTTTGTAGCTCTGTTGTTTGGTTCATACACATTTAGTATTGTTGCCTTCTTGGTGGATTGATCCATTTATCATTATATGTTATATCACTATATAATATAAAAATATATATAATATATGATGATATATCCCACTCTAGCCCTTTTTTGAAATAATTTTATATTTATCTGATAGTAATACAGCCATTCATGCTTTCTTTTGATTAATGTTTGCATATAATATATCCTTCTCCATCTTTTTACTTTCATCTTGCCTACATTATTTGAAGTGTCTGGTAGACAGATTAAAAACTGTTTCTAAATCTGCTCTGCAAATCTCTGTTTTTTTAATTGTATTTAGGCCATTACACTTAATATAATTATTGATATATTAGGGCTTAAGTTTGCCATCTTATTTTTTGTTTTCTGTTTTTCATTTTTCTGTTTTCTTTTTCCTGCCTTCCTGTGGGTTATGTGAATGTTTTTGTAGAACTCCATTTTTATTTATCTGTAGTGGTTTTGAGTTTATCTCTTTGCATAGCTTGTAAATGGTTGCTCTAGGTATTACATTACACATACTTAGCAGTTTTTTGGTGTTGTCATTTTACTAGTTCAAGTGAAACACAGAAATTATATCTCCTTTTATGTCTCTTTGTCCCCTATTTATAATTTGTCTTGAATATTTCCTCTACATGCATTTAGAACCACATCAGACCGCGTTATTAATTTTTACTTCGGCCATCAAACCTAATTTAGAAATCTCAGGAGGAGAGGGAGAACCTATTACATTTATCTATATTTTTGCTGATGGTGCTTTTTGCTTTCCCAGTGTTCCAGTGTTTTTTCTTTTAGTGTTTCCTTTCTGCTTCGAGAACTTCCTTAAGTCATTCTTTTCGGGTGCCTCTTTAAGTGCCAAATTCTCTTAGTCTTTCACCTGGGAATGTCTATATTTCTCTTCCCACAATATACTTATTAATTACAAAGGGGAAGATACTAACTTCACAGTGGAGAAACCTGTTAGACCCCATCTTACCAAGAGGTCAAAATTAACATCACCAATTATAAGATACATTGCACATCACCTCTGTGGTATTCTTGCCCAAACTACATATCTTCAGTTCAGCCTTGAGACAATATCAGGCAAAATAAAATTAAGGGACATTCTACAAAATAACTTTCTATAAAATAATTGATACTCTTTAGATTGTCAAGGTTATGAAAAACAAAGACTTGAAGAGCTGTAACAGATTTGAAGAGATAGGACAGCTGAATGCAGTAGGGAATACTGGATTGAATTGGCCCAGAAAAAGGGCCCTAGTGGGACAACTGGCAAAATTCCAATAAAGTCTATAGATTAGTCTACAGTATTTTATCAGTGTTAATTTTCTGGTTTGATTACTGTACTATGGTTATGCAAGAGGATACCATTAAAGGGAACAGGCTGAATGAAGGCTATACAAGGACTTACTGTTTTTACAACTCTTCTCTAAGACTAAAATTATTTCAAAAGGAAAAATTATTTTTCCAACATTTTTTACACAATGCAAATCACTGAAATAAAATAATGCTTCCAGTTCATTTTGCTTAGATATCCGTCTTCTTTTTAAGTAATGCAAAGTCCTGATTTGTGTAAGAACAGATTTAACAGAACATTTCCATATTCTTTGTGCATTGTTGCAAACACCTTAAAGCCCTTCCTATACTGAAGCCTGGATACAATTTCACACAAAGACCTGTGCTTCTTTGTTAAGACTTTGTAATCACATATGATTCTATATTTAACAGATTGTGAATTTTAGATCTCGTCTAGAAAACAGTTTATTCAGTCAGATTTTTATTGAGCAATTACTATGTGCCAGGCACTGTTCTGGGCACTGGAGATAAATGAGTGAACAAGACAATCAAAAATCTCTCCTCTCATGAATATAGATAATAAACAAAACAAACATATTTTTAAAGTGTGTTTATAGTTACATTGTGGAGAAAAATAAAGCAGGAAAAGGTGAGTACCCGGATTTGGGGGTTGGGAGAGTAGTTTCTTTACTATATTTTCGAAAATAGCAATCATCATATGCTCTGTCCCCTTTTCAGTCTTTTATTTTAAGGCATAACTATTTGATATTTTATATCCTCTATCTAATCTCTTATATATATATAATCTTTCTTTCTACACTAGAATGTAAGCTCCATGTGAGCAAGGGCTTCATTTGGTTACTTGAAACTAGAGAACAATGCCTAACTTGTAGCAGGACCTCAATAAGCATCTGTTGAATGAATTCTAGCTCAAACGTTCACTCAGATCCTCTACCTTGCTTAGTTCCTTGCACTTAATGGGGGATCAGTAAGTATTTGTTGATTTCATTAATATGCAGATTCAGGTTATATAAGAGTCCATTTTGCTATAGTTTGGTTGAGTTTTTTGTACTTTTCTGGGATGACCATGAGAGATGGAATCCCCTTAGACCTTGAGAATGCTTCAGAGTTGCCTGTCCCCTTGAGTAATGTGTTCAGGCTGTTTGCAAGGGAGTTATCCACTTGTAACTCCATTTTACATGTGATATAAAATGTTGTATCTTTTGACAAATGAAAAACATAAAAGGAAAAATCCGTTTTCGTTAAAAAAATTTTTTTTCAACGTTTATTTATTTTTGGGACAGAGAGAGACAGAGCATGAACGGGGAAGGGGCAGAGAGAGAGGGAGACACAGAATCGGAAACAGGCTCCAGGCTCTGAGCCATCAGCCCAGAGCCTGACGCGGGGCTCGAACTCCCGGACCATGAGATCGTGACCTGGCTGAAGTCGGACGCTTAACCAACTGCGCCACCCAGGCGCCCCAGGAAAAATCTGTTTTCAAGCTGTACAGCTTTCACAGCGAATGTCTTAAAGATGTTACGTTATCTTATCTGTAGATGAAAAATCCCCTCATATTTTACTCTCTGGCCTGTTAATATTTTATAGTAGAAGCATCTGTTTCTTTTCTTGTAACCCTAATCATCTTTCATTTTATATTTTGAACAGTGTTATTTACTTGTCTACTACACCGGCTGGCGGAATGTCAAATCTTTTTTGACTTTTGGTTTAATCTGTCTGTGCAACATGTATCTCTATGAACTGCGCAACCTCTGGCAGCTTTTCTTTCACGTGACCGTGGGAGCGTTTGTTACACTACAGATCTGGCTAAGGCAAGCCCAGGGCAAGGCTCCTGATTATGATGTCTGACACCATCCTTCAGACATACTGCCTTGGCTTCTGGGGAAAAAGGAGGGAGTATATTTAACTGCCACTGTGATGAAGAAACTGTTCACCACAATCAAGAAGCTCTGCTTTCTTTTTCTCCAGCTATCCTTTTTGTTTCAAGTCAGCATGGCATGCCTGGGAGCATATAGTACCTGTTAGGCAAACTTCATATTGCCGTGAGATTATTATTCAGAGGAAGAGACTTCTCTCTCCAGGGCCATGACAGTGGAAGAACAGTCAGATGCCATTGGAAGACTTGGCTAGCAGTCCTGAATCCTTCTGAAGAGTTCAATCAAAAATGTATGTGGTACATGCTCTGAGGACCGAGTGGGAACTCTATGACCTGGGTTCGCCTTTATGAGGCATGAGTATAGCCCAAATAAAAAGATGCCACAAAGTTTATATTTAAAACAACTTGCTAAATATCAGATTATTTGCACATTTAAGGTACCATGAGTTTATGAAGTCTAGGATGGTGTGGAATTGGTTCTTTTCGTCTTATATTTTTGCTTGAATCTAAACTCTGGAAATCACTTGATGTATGAGAAAGCTGTTATAAGCGCATCTTTCGAACATCACAAGTACTGAAAACACAGTAACCTGTTTCCTTTCTAGACCATGTTTGTAGTTTCTTTTGAAATCACTTTTAAAAAATGTGGTTTGTTAAATTATAACCATTGTTTCCCAAACTTCAATCACTTAAGTATTATATATAAGTATTATTTCTTAATATTATCTTTAAATTTTAAAATATTGTAAAAACAAACTAATCTCTACTCCAAGAGGAAAACCGGCATCAATTTACCATGAATAAAGGGTAACAACAAAATAAAATTAAAACAAGAAATGTTATTAAATTCTAACTAGATACTAATGTCTGCTAAGGTGTTGAATCCAAGAAGCCTGCTGTGTGTTGCAGTGAGAGAGATGTTACCCAGCACCAAAATGGGGCTCTCTCTGTGGGATTATGAGAAGAATGAAAGAGAATTGTAAAGGGAATGACATTCTCACTGTGATTCTGCATTATTTAGCTCTGTGTTGTATACCACCTAAAATCCTCCTGTGTGCTACCAACGGTGTGGGTCCGGAACACTGAACTTGTACTAAGAGAATCAGAAGGTAACTTCTCCCAGCAACTCTTATTATTTTATGGCTTTGAGGAGTTCTGCACCTAATTTCTTAGAGAACTCGTTTGTTTTTTCATAACATTATAAAGATTGTTCAAGAGGTTATGAATTAATAATATAGGAAGCACGATTTGATTCCATTAGCAAAAATCTACATCTCTACTGGTTTTGCAAGTTACCTTCATTAATGATTTTCTTTTGTTTTTAGAGAAAAGATTCCAAACAAGGAATACATAAGGAATACGAATTTAAAATTTGATATCCAGAAAACAGTGGACCCATTACATATAACTCATGTTACTGGGCATATTTATTAAGCAGAAGAAATAGTCCGGAGGGGTAAAGTCGTTGAACTACCATGTTTGTTTGAACCTGTATATGTAGGCATGCCTGCAACTAACTGTAAAATCTTACTAGCTAGAACTTTTTGCTGCACTCCCTTTTTAGGAGAATGAGGCAAAAGGAAGACAATAAGCTTGTAATGTCAGGGATTTATTTAAAACCGGAAACTCCAGTTCACTTCAGTTTTCTGCCTCTAACAAAACTGCAGAGAAATTATATATATTCTGAGAGCTGCCCCAAGATATACCACATGATCCTGACTCATCAAAATAAAACTGTTTGGCATTTTATACTTTTGAGCCAGGAGAGTGAAGTGGTTCAGTGTGGAAAGATTTTTCTGAACTAACTGTTAAAACAAGAGGAGTTCTCTTGTAAATAGCCAATTAACCAAGAAGTTGGAGCATTCTGGTTAATTGTGATTTTGCTATATATTGATACTTAATAGCTCTCTTACCAGTTTGGTTCACTTTGGTTTTCCTTTATCATTGAATTATTGAATTATGGTGTTTGGTGTTTTGGATCAGTCAGCAAAGACACTTGAAAACTCACCAGCTGTTTAATTTTTTTTTTTGCTTTTGTTTTGTTTTTTTCTATTTTTGGATAATGGGATGTTTACATATTAATGTAAAAACTGAAAACAGGTATAAATAATGTTTTATGTATAGAAATGCTTTTTTTTTTCATTATTTGGTATCTGCGTCGCTGAGTGTTTATATAACTTCTCTGCCCTTTCGTGTTGTTGCCAAAGAAACTGAATTTGGAATGAAAAATTTTTACCGTGAGTATAACGTTTTTAAGCTCATTAGGCTTCTAATGTGTATGATAGTAATACCGCACTGTTACTTCTAAGAGCAGTTCCGCATTTACCTAATCATAATGAGTTTTGTCATGGAGGCTGAGAATTAGTTGTCCTCTTGTTATGAAGGAGGAAACTGAGGTAATCAGATGTTAATGACTTATGTAGGGTTACAGAGCTAAGCACATACAACTCCTAATCCCTTAGCCTTGGGGCCCTGCCTCCCCAGAGTGGGGACTGATGAAGATAACTAGGGTTGCACTCAGGAAATAGATCTGTTCTTGGTAAAATCAGGGAATTGGGAACTTAATGAGCTCAGGCCTGCTAGTGTCAAATATAGGTGTGTATTAAGGTGACTCTGAAATACTGCTCTTTTATTAAGGTGTTCTAAAAGTAATTACAGTATTTGCTTACGATATTTGCTTGGTCTGTATTTGAAATGTATTTATACCTAGCCCATTTCCCAAAAACAGTTGAAGCACCCTATACAAAAATAAGACAAATACAACAGCAGTAACTATGAACAGAAAGGAAGAAACACAAGATCAGTGAAAATGAAAGGTGAACATGTTGCTGTTACCAAGTGTGAAATTTGACTTTTGAACTTCCTGGAAATCATGGCTAGGAGGGAAACAAGTTTCCCGTCGCTAGCTCTGTCTGTAAGAGTATACCAGTTCCTCAGGGAAGACATCTTCCTGAGGGATTTTGGTAAAGAGGTTCACGCTTGGGAGTCCTGTGAAATGCTAAAATGAACAAAATCCTCAATGGTTTTAGCCGCTTGCATATTAATGATTGTGCCTTGATCCTTGACTTGTACCAGTTTTCAGAGGCGTTCATTTAAGGAGTTTCGGTGTGGTTAATAGAGGATTTTGTTGGCATGAGGAAGAATTCTTCTCCTAAGCTAAAAATAGGTACGTGTTAAAGCTTGAAAATCCATTTGAGACAAATGCCTAGAGACATAGACCTTTAACTAATTCTGTCATTTTATAATTCATATAAAGTTAATGTGCTGCCCCTGGATTAGCACATTTATTTTGTATTAAATGTGGTCTTTTTCACAATGGAATCTAGTCTGGAGAAATGACTGGTTACATTTCTGTTAGGCAGTGTCCGGATTTGTCAAGGCTCCACAGACCAGGTTTGTCATATGAGCTTTAACCTCCATGTCACATAAGTGCTTCCTGTTGAGTTTAGCCACCCACCAAAATGGGAGTTGCTTGGCTTTATTCCCAAAGTCTTACTAAGTAACCTATGGAGCCCCACTCTGAGCTGTTGGATTTCCAAGAGACACAGCAAAATGTGTGTGCGTGTGTGTGCACACTTGTGATGTTATTTTAACAGACTTTTAGTTTATTTTAAAAGAGCTGTCATGAAGTATATAGTAAAACAACAAATAAATTGCACTTGACCTTGAATAAAGCAGGGGTTAGGGGCACCAACCCCTCCCCAGTGCAGTCAAAAATCCATGTGTAACTACTTTTCTAATAGCCTACAGCTGATCAGAAGCCTTACTGATAACATAAGCAGTCAATTAACACATATTTTATATGTTCTATGTATTATATACTGTATTCTTATAGTAAAAATCTTAAGATCATAAAGAAGAGAAAATACATTTATAGTACTGTAATTCTAAAAAAGTCCACATGTCAGAGTGCCTGGGTGGCTCAGTTGGTTGAGGTTCCAACTCTTGATCTCAACTCAGCTTGATCTCAGGGCTGTGAGTTCAAGCCCTGCATTGGGCTCGGTGTTGGGCATGCAGCCTACTTAAAGTCCACATGTAAATGGCCCCACACAGCTGAAACTTGTATTGTTCAAGTATCAAGTGTATTTCAAAGGCAGCTACCATTCAGATCAAATTGAACACTTAGCCTTTACCACAAATTACAGGTAATTCTTCAGGGCTGCCATCTTTGTCTGTAGTCAAGCCTTCTTTGTATTTCCCTACTTTATCATCTCTAAGGAAATGCTGTAGTAAAATCAACCTGATTTTTTTATTTTGATTGGCTTTAGTAATATGCTACTTAAAAGTTAAGCACCTTCAACTCCAAGGGTTATGAACCAGCTTGTGTGTAAAGGCTGTGTTGGCTGAGAATTTACCTCTTCTAGTCTTATCGGTTAGGGTTAGAAATGTCTGATCATCTTCATCAATGTTCTGAGACTGCTGTTGAATGCTGGCTTATTTTAGCATATTTCAGCTCATATTTCTGAGCGGTGAACTTTTCAAAGAGAAGCAGTGTCTGTGGCTGCCACTCTTGTAACATCTTCTTTGAGTGGCCAAGTTTTCTGAGTTACTCAATTTCACAAGATGAAGTCACAGTGTTGAACATACTGTTGAATGCACTCAGTGGTTGGAAGCCACGTGGATTGTATCCTCCTTGCTTGTGAACAGGGAGTGCAGTTGACATGTGTGTACATGTTTTCTTTTGCATTGGCAGTGCCCGTATATAATAAGTAGTCTTAGCACAATTGGAGGCTGTAGGAAACTCCAGGAGAGAACAGGCTTAATTCTAAAGAGTTCCTGAAATCCGTACCGTAGCCTTATGAATTGTTCCTGCTATTTCCTTGGTAACAAACGGTATTTTCAGCCCCACCTCACCCACAGTTCATATTTGCCCCTTTTCCCTGCATCCCACAGCACAGCAGTGCAAGTGTCACTGAATGGAAGCATATTCAGGCTCCACCTGAGAGTAGGAAACAGGACTCCAAACTTTTGTTTCCCATTTGGTCCTGGCGGCCCTCTGCAGCTCTGCCTTCATTGTTTGCCTCCTTAGTGCCAGTGCTTTTCTGTGAGGCTTCGGCTCTCCATGACCTTGCCAACAATATTTGGCCTTCTACTTGGAATTCTTCCAGTGCCTGGGACTAATGATAAGAATTCTTAGCACCTTTTGTGGGCCAGGGCTAGATCGTCCTACATGGTTAATCCTTAGGGCAGCCTGGGGGATGGGAGGCACTATCTCATATTTGCTTGAGGAAACAGACTTACATTCAAACCTGAGATTCAGGCTTAAGTGATTCAAAAGTTGGTGTTCATTTTTCTGTGCCGCAGAATCTCAGAAAGAATACTCCTTGTATGTTACTGACAACCACTGGGCCTTTACTGTTCTAGCAGCAGTGAGAACAGACAAAGCTGACATGGAGGGAAACAGTACTGTGTACAATAAGGATGTCATCCTTACAGAAAGCCTTTCTGTAAGCTTTCTTTTTATAGACGGAGTACCCGAGGCCTAAAGAGGTTAAGTCACTTAACCTCAGTCAATCTTGCCACCAATCTTTGTGGCACCAAGATTTCAGTCCAGATCAGTCTTACTCAGAACTCATGCATGCTCTTAGCACCATGTAATATTAAGCTAGACAACATGGAAATATGTTGAAATACATAAGGAATATATGTTGGAATGTATATCCAAGTAATCTACATTTTAAAAGTTTTATATAAGTAATCTCTATACCCAACATGGGGCTCGAACTCATGGCCTTGAGATCAAGAGTCACATGCTCTATGGACTGAGCCAGCCAGGCACCCCTCTGCATTACCTTTTTAATAAAAGGGATTGGTCAGTGCTAACTTCTGCAATATGGCTATCCAAGACTGAGCAAAATGGTTTCCTGAAATTCCTGTATGTAGAACAGTGACATGGGGACATGTGGATGCAAGGGGTATGGTGAAACTTAAATGAGCCTTAGGTTTTAGGGCAAGAGCTATACAGTCTGATCTTTGTATTAAGTCTAATGATTCTTAACATAGAATGTTAAAGCTTCACTGGTGATTCATTTGTTACAAACATTTACTTTTTCTAATTGAAGGACAGAATTGGTTCTCTGATATAAAGTAATTTTATGGAAATTCTGCTTTAATTGATTCTTATATCTGAAAACACTAAACAAAAAAAATAGAACATAACTATTTACAATATTGAATAGTGATTATGAACTTGGACTCAGATTCTCTGGCTCTCTTCTACTGGCATTGTGACCTCAGCAAGTCACATAACCTCTCTGCCTCCATTTCCTCATCTGTAAAATGGGGGTAATAGTACCTTGGGCAAAGTGTTGCTGTATTAAATGAGTCCATATATAGAGAGTACTTAGAACAGCACCTGGCACATTGAGTGCTAGGACAGCACGGTATGTCTTCTTGTGGTCCGTCTTGTTGGTGTTGCTATTACTTTCAAGGTAATAAGTCTTTTATGTTGCAAATGCCCCTAAATATAAGTCATCGTACAAAGTTTTTCAGAGATTGGCAGCTAAGAGAGGATCCTGTTGAAATGTCTAGCAGGCATGTTGCCTGCCCTGGCAAGCTCTTGTGTGCAGATCTCTGGGCAGGGCAGTAGGGATGCATTCAAGGACAGGAGAAGGGAATGGAAACACATGCTTGCCAAGTGCTGCTGTACATCAGGTGCTTTCGGTATAGAAGGTTATGTGAACCTAACAATATCCATCTGAGGTAAGTGACTAGGATCAGTTGTTTGTTGTCACACAGTCTGGAAATGGTAGACTGTGCTTTCCAGGACCCCACAGTCTCCCAGGTACTGGAGTGCTGTCAAAAGGGGAAGGTGCCTCTGGGAACGTCATGTTGTCCAATGTGGCCCTAGCACTGTGGCCCCATCATTGTTTGCTTTGAATGCTCTGATCTAGTGGGTACTCTTGAATGGTGGCCACCCTCGTGCCCACCACTTTGTAGGGGTGTGCATGTGCGTGAGGTCTGTGCATTGATGGGAAGCAAGGGGTGGCAGGATGCAGCCAGCAGCCTCTAAACCATAATAAAGAAATAGCATATAGGCGCTGGGGATGTGATGTTCAGGGCACTCTTAAAAAGTGCAAATGCAACATGGGTCTTAAAGGACTAGTCTGATAAAAAATGCCGTCCTCTGCTCCCCACCCCCCAAAAAAATCCCACATGAACCAGGAAGTGCCACTCTAGCTAACTGACAAAGTCAAAGCACAGAAGCAAATTTTGCAAAATTGGAAAATAAAGATGCTGACAAACCAGAGATTCCAGGCAGGTCTAAATTAGAAATTGGCTGAGGGGGAGAAAAAGTGATGAGGGCCCTAATGGATTCCAATGAGAATTCTTTAATTCACAGTCCTAATAGACCAGCAGTAGGCAAGGGACCTTGGGGATGAATATGCGCTCACCAAGTGAGGGGGCGGCTCAGTTCTGTTCACTAGAAACAGATGCTTGGGTGAGGTTTAAAGTAGCAAGCTAGTTGGGACAGGGTGCCTACTTTACCCTCAGCCCTAGACAATCCTCTTCCTTCTTGTGTTTCACCTTCATCCCATCTTCTGGACCTTCTGCTGGGTCTGTGAACCGAGACTGATCACCTGGCCCTCAGCACTGTATGGATCAGGGCCCTTGGTAGGAAAGGACTCTGGCCACACTGCCGATGCGTATGGCTGCTGCTACTTCTGCTGGCGTGGTGTCTTAAGGAGGACAGAGCAGAGGCTGTTGCAACTTTGGTTTGAAGGTGGTCTTCCCAAAGATCCCCCTTGATGGGATGCTTTCATCTATTTGTCTGCCTTTGGCTTTAAAATCTTAAAATCCTAACTTGATTGTGTTTATGTTTGTGTCATATTTGTGGTCTGGCACATGAATATTGGACAGGGTCTCACAAATATTTAGAATCTGAGAATTCTAGAGGAGAAAGGAACCTTGGAGGTCAGCCATTCCAGTGGCCTGACTTGGCTTTGTTCTGGTGTCTGTCTTGAGAAGCAATGACCCTGCAGGTGGGAAGGAAAGATAGGCAAGAAGAGGACAGCAAATACTATATTTTTTGTTCCAAGACAGGAAAAAAAAAAAACAAAAAAAAAAACACTAAAGGGCTTTTGTGAAAATCTGAGTGGCCAAGAAAAGCTATAGTACTTATAGTAAGCGGACCTCATTTCACCTGCTGTCAACCTTGAGAAGTGGCAAGCCCTGTATCCCTGCAAGATCATCAGGACCCAGCCAGATCAGTGCACTGGACAGAAGTGCCTGTGGGCACAGAAGTGCCACAGCTTTTATCCTTGAGGATCAGAGCAGCCTCAGGACATGCACCAGGTCTTTCTCCCACTGCCTCCTGGGCCAGGGAGGAAGCACAAGTGAGAAAATGTATAGGAAAGCTCTTTATACACTTTGGATTAAGTTCATCCAAAGGCAGGGTGTGGAGGGCATGGTATTCTCTGGTCTGCCGTGCCCTCTCTGTACCTCCTCCATAGAAAACACAAGCCCTCCAGCTCTCCTCCTGACCCCTGTGCTAGGTGATACTTGCCATGGCCAGCATGGCCCAGACTTACAGTCCCTTCCTTCTAGAGACAACCTGTACATCATTTGTTCTCTTCAGTGAGGAGTTATTTTGATTTAGACAAATTCAAAAGCGGGGAGTTTTCATAGTGTGTGTCCCTGCCAGTGCTGCTCTGTTGTTCAGTTGGTAGTGAGAATCTGCTCAGCGCTACTTCTGAGCATTGTGCATCCCAGCGCCCAAGAATGCTTTCCTGTCCTGAAATGATACGGATTCAGCATCTTTCCCAAGCTCTGGAGGCTCGCTTTCTGCTAATTAGCAACTCATGGCCAGCTTGCAACATTATGGAAAATAGGCACATTTTATCATGTAAAAACTATAGCTCTGGGCATCATTTAGCTGTATGACACTCAGGTGATAATCTACTTTTGGAAAAGTTCTGTAAATGTATTTGTGTTTTTGAAAGTCTTAAAGTAACAGGACTATCTGGTGAATATGTAGCTTCAGCTCCTTCAGTGCACCAAGCTTCACTGTGCCTTCCCATAAACATTGCTAATCTCCCTCCCCCACCCCCACCCCCACCCCCAAATCAGATCATCAGCATGTTGGCTGAAGTCTGGTCTTGGTTTTAATGGTCTTTGCTGTCAGTGGATTTTTTTTTTTTTAAGGTTATTTTCACAGAGAACAAGTTGGGGGGGAGGGGGAAGGGGCAGAGAGAGAGAGGAGGACAGAGGATCTGAAGCGGACTCTGCTGAGTGCAGACAGCCTGATGCAGGGCTGGAATTCCGGAACTGTGAGATCATGACCTGGGCTGAAGTTGGATGTTTAACCGACTGAGCCTGCCAGGCCCCCATAATATACTGCCTTCTGCGGGCACACTGTCAACGGATGTTAAAGCGGTGTTCAAAACTCACCACACATGAGTCTTTACTAATAAGTTTTGCTAATTAACATTCTAGGTTTGGATATGCTTTTGCACAAAAGTATAAATCTATAAGGGAGAAGCAGATACGTTCTCTGGAATTAGTTCAATGGAGATGGGAATGGGAAGGGCTTATGAAGGTTATGAGTTGCATTCCTTTGCTGTCCTGTGTGTTGGGTGTGCATGCATGCGCATCCGGTGCCATGGACCTGCCTGAGGACTTGCCCTCACTTAGTCCAGTCAGCCTAAAGCTTGGCCTTTTCATTTGGTTTCCTTTTCTAATTGATGTACCCTAGCCTGAAAAGTTCTCAGAGTTAAACATGAGCTCTATACCATTGCATCCTTTACCATGGACAGTGGGATTGCTAATGCTATTCAATTCTTTGGAGCAGGGGACCTGCCTATGACCAGGACTGCCATGGCTATGTCTCCATGTGGCCATTGTTGAAATAAACCCAGTGAAGTCTTTTTCACTGGCTCCTTCATTTTCACTTGACCAGATCCCTCTGGTTTTATTTCCTGAGCCCAAATATAGCCCTGCATTTGATGGGTGCGGCCGACAGGAACTGCCTTTCTGCCACCTTTCCTTTCCTCTCGAGGTAAGAGGAGTCCTGGGGCATGCATGAAGCTACCTGTATGAGCTTAGCAGACAGGCCTGCTCTGAATCTCTTCTCTCTTTACCAGTTGTAGGAGTTTAGGCAAGTAACTCAACCTCTCTGTATCTCTTCATCAGTGAAATGTGGTGGCCAGGAGGATTAAATGAGATGAAGTTTGTGTGATGCTTATCCCTGTGTCTGGCACATAGTGTCCAGTAAATGGTAGCCACGGTTATTAGCTGCCCAAGTCCAATCAGTACACTTTCAGCCTGCATCTCCCTGTCCTCCCTGCTACTTGGGTCCTTTCGATGATCTGTGTTCTTGTATTTTCAACTTTCTTTCCCTTAGCATAGAAATGAGTTGGGCTCACTTGTTTTAAAACCTCTTCCCCTCAACCCTGCATCTTTTCTGGTCCCATCCTAAATCCCTTGTCCCTTCACTCGTGGTGTCTCTCACCTCCTCATTCCTCAGCCCGCTGCACTCTGGAACCTGCTCCTCAGCCCAGTGAACTAACTCTCGCCAAGGTCACCAATGCTGTCTCACCTGACTGCCACAATGACTGCAGGCCCTCGCCGACATTCTCCCCGTAGCAGCGTGCTGTTCCCCACTCAAGGTAGGTCTCTGCCCTCTGGGGCTCCCTGCCCAGTGCCCCAGCAAGGGCCGAGGGCACTGTTCTTCAGACTGGAACCAGGCCCTTGGCCCAAGCCACAAATCAGACCAGGACACATTACCAGTGAAAGTGTTTAATAGTTAAATTATTTAAATAGACTTTTCAATTTCCATGGGAAATCATAATCCTATCTGTTTTTGCAAGAGCAGGAATAAAAAGAGTGCACACCCTTGGAGGGAATGAAGAGCTAGCACTGCATGGTGTTGCCAGTCACTGCTGGGATAGGAGGGATGGGCCCCCGAGAGGCCAAGGAGACCGTAACCAATGGGGGGAACCACCGGAGGAACTCAGCACGCACACGTTACTCAGGTTGGAAGCAAAATTAAAACCTAGCACCACTGGTGGGTGCTATGGAGGGGCCGGGGACTTGAGAATGCCACCATGGAGAAAGCCAGTCCCCCCAACAGATGCAAGAGGGGCAATGCAGAACTCAAAGGACAGAGCAGCAGAAGCGTGGACAGACTTGAGCTGGAACTTTTAGGTCCGTAAACTTTGCTTCTCAGAGCTGTGTTCAAATTGGGGTGAGAGATGGTGTGTGGAAAGGGGAGCTCGCTTCGGCAGCACATATACTGAAGAAAAAAGGGGAGGCCGGTGCTAGTGTCCAGTGAGAGGTGGTGCAGATGGGGATCAAAATAACATTTTGCAGTTGGCATATAGCTGCCGCCCTACCTCCTTCAAGCTCGTGTTAGAGGTGAGAATAATTCTGCCCTGAGAAGCAACAAAAAGATGTGGGCACAGGACCCAAGGATTCTGTTTGAATATATCCCTATGATAATATATCATTTTTCAGTTTTAAGCCCGTTTCCATTTTATACCCTCAGAGGATATAACAAATATAATTTTTTCCAATATATTTCACGTCCACCTCCCAAAAAACCAAAAACCAGACAAAACAAAATTTCTGCTAGCTTTGCCCTTTGGACGCTGAAGGCTCTATCCTTTTCTCTGGTCTGCAGATGAAGAGCAAAGCCACCACCCTCCCTGAACCTACCTGAGGGCTGCACATTACCCCCAAGTCTGAGGCATTATCTCTGGGCGAGCCACCTGCACGGTAGCCAACTGAGAAAGGTAGGCAGGTAAGGCTTCCCACCACCCCCGCCCCCCCCCCCCCCGCCAGCTGAGCACCTGCGGCCATCCCTGAGCACTCACAGCTGCCTCTCTGCAGGCAGCAAATGGTTGGCATCTCAGGGAGAAGAGGGGACAGGGGCCGTGCTGTCTGTTGCAGGCTGAGGCTGCTTCCCTTGGTTCCACCTGAGCCTGAGATGGGAAGGCAGTTTTTGTTTTATTATCCATTTGCATTTTACTTAGGGGAAGTGATGTGTTAGAGAGATGGGGTAATGTACGCATGCACCTTCCCATTTAATCTGACTGTAGGGCACCCCAAAAGGACATGCTCACTGCTCTGGTTGGACCTGGGAAAACCCAAAACTGCCTAATCTGAAGTGAAGTGAGGGCAAGAGGCATCCTGCATGTGACCAGTTCCACGGCATAAACACACACACATCTACACCAGTACATACGCTGACACACGTACAGTACAAACGCTGTGCACAGCTGTTTTCTAATATAGTTTACAAAATATAGAATTTGGTATATTTTTTAGATCTCCAAGGTTTTCAATAATACAAAATAAAAAATACAAAAAAGACAAGTTGGGATTCTTGCCCTCCCCCCAACCACCAGTGGCATCTTTGTTTGCTTGTGGGTCTCTTATACGCATACAACTAGCATAGTCTAAAGAAGGGCACAGAAAGTTGTTTTATTTAATAAATATTTTCTTTTTCTCAGAACCACCCCTCCTTGCTTCGCGTCTTCTCGCCTCCCCCTCACAATTTGTTCTGTTCCCCTCCAAGAGGCGTTGTCCACCTATGTAGGTGAGGAGGAGGGCTGCGGAGAAGGCCGCAGTCCCTCCAGAGCCAGCACTCCTGCCAGCAAGCCCCTCCATGGGGCAGGGGCCGTGGCCTCTGTCAGGGGTTTAAAGGCTCACACAGGGAAGTGGACCCCTGGGGCCGCTGGGTTACCCTGGGCCAGAGTTGGGCCGCCGACCGACCCACCCACCCGAGGCTGAGGCCTCCCCCTCAGCTCTGTCGTTGCACACTCGGCTGCCACACACCGTAAGCACTCAGCAGCTCCTTTCCACCTGCGCAGCAGCATCCGTTAGAAAACTCGGGATTCGGATCGCGCCTAGCGGAGTCTTCTACGGAGGAACATCTTTGGTCAGCTTGGTGCTCGCAGGACGCTGGCACCCTGGGGCCTGGGACGGAGGCTGCGGCCTGCCCACAAAGGCAGAAGCTGCTTCTGGAGTCAAAGTGGAGAATCTCACCGGCGCAGCCACGTGGGCTAGAGCGCAGGCTTCCACCTGCCCCCCCTCCGGCATACAAAGAAGCCATTTCCGTTTCTCTGGAGGCCAGGCTGCCTGGCATCACTGGCTGGCAGCTGCTAACTGAGCGGGGGCCCACCGTTGAGGAAGTAGGTCATCATCTCTCCTTTGCCCTTGACCTTGACCACGCCCCTGCACTCCAGCTGGTATGTGTTGGCAGCCAGCACCTGGTACATGTCTGTGGTGACCTGAGGAGGCAAAGAAGGGGAGTGGATAGGCCATTGTTGAGCCAAGCCGTGAGCCTGTTGTCAGGCAGCTCTGTCCGACTGTCCCCAACACACAAGGGTGGGTGGCACCCTGACAGCTGCTCGCCCCTAGACTTGCCTGTTTGAAACAAGAAGGATGACAGCACCTACTTTGTGCCAGGCAGGGTGGCCTGTGGTCCCTGAACTGCCTGTCATTGTCCACAATGAGAGAGGTGCAGAGGCTGAGAACTGCTTAGGGCATCCACAGCATTCTGACGCTGCCCCACTGATACCAAGCATGGGCCCAGCATGTCCACCCAAGTCTCGCTCCAGGACAGATCAGCGATGTTCCTGGAAATTGGTTTTTCACACCACAGATGGAGAGCCACTGTTTATCTCACTGAATCTATGAGGTAAATACTGTTATCTCAGCCTCAGGAAACCTAAATCACTTGTCTGAGGCTACATAGCTAACAAATGGCAGAGTGTGGATTCAGTTCTATATCCTAGTGCCCATCTCTGCTTTAGCTTTTGGAACAAAGAGGGGAACTCACCAGTGGCTTCAGTAATCACTGCACTATTGTAGGGCTGATGTGAGCAGCAATACAGATGAATGCTTCATGAAGTGACCCAAAAGCCGTCTGAGTACAGCCCACACACCCCGCCAGCCACCCCACAAAACCTCTGCTGAGGATCCTGGCCCTGCCTGGCTGTCAGGCCAGGGAAGAAGGGGCCAGAAATCTCTAGATGGGCTGCTGGAAGGTGACCCTACTGGGTTATCGCATGTGTTCCACGAATGGGAAAGCCCTATGCAAAGGTGAGGTGCCGGGCCGTTGTGTGGCTGCTGACAGAGTCCCTCACACCTGTCTGTGGGTGGGGTCGGACACTCTGCAAACACACATTCCTTTCCCCCCAGCTGCCATCTTGTTGTCCCTTCTCCCTTTGGCACAGGGATAGAAGTGAGAGAAAGCCATTTGGCCAGGTTCCTCCAACAGCACCTATCAGGCCAGGGCCGTGCTTGGGCTGACCCTTTGTTCAGAGGTCCCACAGAAGAGAGGATTTAAGGGACATTTAAGCAGTGTCAGTGTGATCAAAGGGCCATGAAGAGAGCAGAGTTCAAGCTTGGGAAAACAGATCAGGGAGGCTAAGTGACCTGCCCACTTATGGCAGGACTTATGGGGGCCCTGGGGGTTCAGAGGTACAGGAATACAGCCCAATCCAGGACCTCACTGTTGTCAGACGGGAGCAGAAGGAATTAAGGGCAGTCTAAGAAAAACAAAAGCAGTTGAAGAGAGGTAGGCCCGGGAATTGCAAGAGCCAGCTTGCACAGGATGAAGAGAGGAGAAAAAGTCTCTGGGTCTCTGGCCAGGCCCCTTGGCAACTAGGGTGGTGGGAGCACCATCCCAGGGATCACTGGCCTTGCCTGGTTCTGTTGCACCAGGCCCTGAGTGCTGTGAGCTCCAACTGGCAAGACCTTGCTCCCTGCAACCATCTTGGTGTCCCCTTGTATGCCTGGGTCGTGGCATTAACACTCCTGGTTTAGCATCAGCAGTGGCTCCTGCCTTTACTCCCCCAATTCCTTCTGTGGCCAGTAGAGGGCTTTGCACAGGAGTGAAGATCTGTCCAAGGTCCTGAGGGCCTGAAACACAATGATCTCCAAGCTCCCGAGACAGTGCCAGCTACCTTCAAAATTGGCTGCAGAAATTCTGACTGGGGACTGTGGGCAGCTTGCACTAGGAACCTGGAGTATCAGGCAGAGGCCCCCATGGGGGTGAGCCGGGTGGTGGATGCTCCGGCACTCACCTGGATGCGGTCAGGCACACCGGTGCTGTCCATGCGGCTGGCCACGTTCACCGTATTGCCCCAGATGTCGTACTGAGGCTTGCGAGCCCCGATCACCCCAGCCACCACGGGGCCAATATTGAGCCCTGCAGGGGACAGAAGTCAGCAATGTCATCAGGGCTCAGACCAGTGCTCACCACACTATCATTCCTCCCTTGACACTCAGCAAGTTCCTCTGGACTTAGTCTGAAGACCGCCAGTGTCCTCCAGGCCCGCGACCATGCTTTACCCTGCAGTTCCCACGAAATGCCTGCCAACCCAGACCATGAGGTCTGTTCCCACAGCACTGTTCCTGTGTCCTTGCCCCCAATCAGGTCTCAGCTCCTGCAAGTCCATCACCAGGACCACCCTCTTCAAGGATCCAGTGACTCACTGCAGCATCCCACTGCCTGTCCTTAATCATCCCTGTTGCTGGCATTTCAGTTTTCAGTTCATTCTAACCACACGTACCAGAACTCATCCTTTTCTTCCTCATCACTCCTGTTTCTTTCAGGGGCACAATCATTTTCATTCTTAGTACCTTGCTCCTAACCCACAGTGTCTTCTCTGTCCAGGTGATCCTCCCCTGGGCGTCTGAGCTCAGTCAGGGAGGCCACCGTGACCCAGCTCCAGGAAGCAAGGCTGCCATCTCCCTCCTGGCACTTCTGCTCTCATCTGTCCACCTTCCTGGTCCTAGGCACGCCAACCCCGATCACCCTGCCCCTCAGCCTTTGCCATGCTGGCTCCCCACCTCAAATGTCCTCCCTCCTCTTCAAGCAAGAACCTTACCCAACACACCTGGCTTAACTGACACTGTCTAGACATTTTCTGCCATGTTTCCAAGCCCCTGGGCGCTCCCCCTCCTCTCTCACATGGGGCCACATTAAACCTCACTGTTGTGTGTGAAGTAGGATTGCAAACATAGCAGAAGCTCCCAAATAGAAACACCGTCAGTCCTTAAGACCCTTCCCTCCACGACCCTCCTCTCCAGTCCTGTCAAGGCCCTGCAGCTTTTTACCCGACCTGCTCTTCCCAGGCTGGACTGGCCAGAAGGCAAGCTCACCGATCTTCATCTGGAAGTTGTTGAAGGAGTGCTCATTGATGTACTTCATTTGGTCCATGAGCTTCATGGCAAAGTCAGCCAGGGCTTTGATGTGGGTCTTGCCCACCTTGTCATATGTAGAGTCATTGAGGCCTGAGGCAGCCATGTAGGTGCTGCCAATGGTCTTGATCTTTTCCAGCTGCCTGAACCGATCCTCGCTGATGATCTAGATGGAAGGAGGCCAAACCTGGGTTACCACCAAGGCTGGGGCACTGAAGTCTATGGGGGAAGGGCAACAGCATGGCCCCTCATGTCCTCCCAGTTCACACAGGAGGCCCAACTCCACACCAGCTCAGTGCGAGGCCAACAGAGCAGGCCTCCTCCCATACTTACCCGTGTGTGGTCACCGTGAGTCACTGTCTGCCCTGCACCAAGAGCCCCAGGCCAGCCCACTAGTCACCTCAGTGTCTCTTGCCCCCAACAGGGGCTGGTGGCCATCTCCTCCCTTCCCTGGCTCATATCTCCATCCCTCCCAGGGATACCACCTCATCTTTGTCCAACGAGACACCCACCTTCTATCTCCATTGTCTGTCAAAAGCCTGCCCAGACCCAACTTCAGTCAATTCCAGCTACGCTCTGCCCCAGGAGCCTCATGGGCTGTTTCCAGCACAGCCCGTTCCCAGTTCCATCCTCCTCTTCCTCCTCCCAAGGCTCTGTATTCCCTCTGGGGTTGACCTTCTCACCCTCACCACTCAGGGGGCTCCCAGGGTCGAAATGCCCTATTGGGCACAGAACCCCCAGCAGCTGGCACACACTAGGTGCTTGGCGAGGGTGTAGTAAATAAGACACGTTTGTGTTTCCACCTCTGCTATTCTGGGCTTTGTGTCTTTGTCCTGCCTTCTCCCTTAGCCTAGGAGTCCCTCCTTCCTTGGACTCCCTCAAAGGCTGGGCCCCAGCCTGGTGGGAAAGGAATGGTGGCTGATGGAGAGTGGCTGGCAAGGTAGCTGGGCAGGGCCTCAGTGGGACAACAGACCCGCAGAGACTTCAAATTCCAAAAGCCTGGGCTGGGACCCCCATTCTTCCACCTACTAGGACTGACCTTAGGCAAGCAGTGTCTCTAGGCCTGTTTTCTCCTTTGTAACACAATAGAGGAAGAAATGTAGGCAAGGTGCCTGTCTCCCCCGCCCCTCTCCTGTTTGCCCACCCGTCGCACCTCGTCAAAGTCGGCGATGATCTCATTGAGTAGTCGCAGGCACTCAACACCCTCATTGTTGGCCTCCAGCTCAACGTAGAACTCAGAGAAGTTGGCGATGGAGGCGAACATGACGGCCACGCACTCACACGACTGGTAGTAGAGCTCATCATTGCGTCGCTCGCGGGCCAGGAAGTGGGCGGCCACATCCTTGGGCAGGATGTTGTGCAGCAGCCGCCGGTTGTAGGCCTGCAGCTCCTCCATCTCCTCCTTTTCCTCCGTGGCCTAGGACACGGCGCCCGGTCAGGAGAGGCATGCGGCCTGCCCGCATGCACCCGAGACCTCCACTGTGCCCAGCCTCTGTCCCCCTGCTGTCCCCACCTCTGGCTTTCCATGAGGAAGCACCAGAAAAGTGAGACACTTGTACACATCCAACTGGGCTCTGCCTGCCTGCCCCTCGGAATGTGTTGGCCCCGAAGGAGGGAACCCCGGGCTGGAAACGGGTCCTGGAAGACAGGTTGAGAGCATCCTGTCTGACCAAAGCTAGACCAAGGCAGGGGGTTACAGGGATGGCCAAAACTACAGCCCCAGTGGCCCTCCAGCTACCAAGAGCTCCACAATTGTCCACTTTCTTCTTCATATCAGGAAGTACAATCAGAAAAGCAGTTTGATAAGGATCACTTAATAGACCAACCCCACTGGGACGATGGCTTAAAGCCCCACCAATCTCCCTGGTTCCCACCAGAGCAGACTCACCCCAGGGCCAGGAGGTACAGATGCCCCAAAGTGCCACCAGGGGTGGGATGGGCACATCACCATTGACTTTGGTTCCCCTGGGTCTGGGAAATAGGGGTTTGTGGTCACTCACCATCTAGCTTAAGAGCCCTCAAATCAAGAGGCCAACAGTGACACACAGCCTGAAGAGCAGAGACAGTTATGCACCAAGGTGTGCAAGGAGCCATCTGACCAGAGTTCACGTGACACAGAAGGTACACAGTGCAGTCTGCTAGCTTCCTCCCCCTTGATGGCAAACAAAATGGCCCCCTTAACTGGGAGTGATCATGTTGGTAAAACAGGCAGGTAAAGGGTCATTAGCAGGGCCATTGAAAAGATCTAGCCAGGGGCGCCTGCGTGGCGCAGTCGGTTAAGCGTCCGACTTCAGCCAGGTCACGATCTCGCAGTCCGTGAGTTCGAGCCCCGCGTCAGGCTCTGGGCTGATGGCTCGGAGCCTGGAGCCTGTTTCCGATTCTGTGTCTCCCTCTCTCTCTGCCCCTCCCCCGTTCATGCTCTCTCTCTGTCCCACAAATAAATAAAAAACGTTGAAAAAAAATTTAAAAAAGAAAAGAAAAGATCTAGCCAGCCTGCTGGGGGCTTTCCTAACTAAACGTGGAGGCCCTTCTATTTGGCTGCAGCTACAACCTCCAAAAGCACCAGGACCACTTCCCTGGCTCTCCCTGTGGATGGTGGCTGCTCATGGGGAAACTGCTGGCACACCCACCCAAAGCCACAGGACCTGGGTCCAGCAGGTAGGGTAGAAAGCTCAGGGACCCCAGGGCTCAGAGGCCTAGCCTTGCACCTGAGGTGAGAGGACCCACAGCCCATCAGTCCTAGAGCCACTGGAAACACAGCCTTGACAATAGGGGTTATGCCTAAGGAAGTTCCTGGATCCTGAGATGCCAGGTGGGTGCAGTGGGACCTTTGCTTCTGAGATGCCTTGATCAGGCCCCTCCTCCCAAGCCACCCTCTGCCTAGCTCTGGTACAGGTGTGCCAGCGGGAGTAGGCCAGAGTGGGAATCTCTGTATTTCTCGAAGGTTACTCCCTGGAAGAGCCCCAGCCGGGCCATCTGCCTCGGAAAATGCACAGGCTGCCCACAGTGCTACTACTGCTGAGACCACATGCCTGGGGGCCCAGGAGCACCCTAGCTCCTTTGATCAGCCCAGCAGTGGCAGAAACATAACACATGCCCTTCCCAGAGTGCATCTGCCCAGTGCCAGGCAGCTGGTGGTGGAGGCTGGGGTTGAGATAGTCGGAGACTGGTTACTGCAGGGAGCACAGGCCAAGGCCCCAGGGTTCTGACCAGGAACTCCCGCCACATCCGGACAACTCTGCCCTGAGACGTGATGTTGGGCAGCTCCCAACACAGCCAACCGCTTCTAGGATTGGGCTCTGGCCAGGTGGGAGGGCTCAGGGGTCCACAGCCCCCTTGCTGATCCTAATAAGGTCAATGCTATGGGAGAGGGATAAGACCTGAGACCCAGTGGTCTGGCCAGGGGCAGGCTTGCGGGTAAGGGTGTGTTCCTGGTACAGACACTTCAGGGAAGCGAAGGACCTCAGGCTTCCCCAGCTCACTGCCAGCACCACACCCACCCACCATGACCTTAGATCCAACAGCAAAATTAGCTGCTGAGTTAGACTGGAGGGGTGGGGAGCACCCGACTATCACTCACCCAACCCAAGGACCTGTGTTCAGGTTTTTGCTTGTTGGTATGTATTTGATGTTGTTCCACCTCCCAAAAGTCCTGGAGGAGGACGGGAGATGAAGGGACGTGTAAGCATCATGAGCCTGTTGCAGGGGTTCAGTGGAGAGAGGCTGACACGCCTGCCAGGTAGAGACATGCTCACCCCCAACCCACACACCTGTGTACAGGCCTTAATTGTTTTCAAAATGGGAGGGGAACTGCGGTTGCCTGAACACTGGGGTGGGGTTGTGAGGGAAGCTCAGACTGCTCTGTTCAGCCCTGGCAGGCAGCCTCACTTCAACCCTGCGTACTCAGGAGCTAGACAAAGAAGCGGGGTGGGGTGACAGGGCAGCAGGTCACAAAGGCAGGCTAAGTGGCAGGCTCACCTGTCCCTTGCTTCCAGCCCTTTCTCGAGATCTTTGCCACACAAATGAGTGGCAGGACAGCCACTGTCTTGGGGGTGGGGGACTTCCTCAGGGCTCACATGGGAGGTGGGGTGCTAGTGAGCAGAGAAGTGGAGGGAAATCAGCCCCAGGTCCCACAGAGCCTGGTCAGCCCCTAGGAGAGAGCTGGGGCCTCTGGGGAGCTTCCCCAGAGGCATGAGGGGCATGAGAGCTGGGAGGAGGCAGGGAGGCAGCAATCTGAGCCAGGAAGGTATGGCCTCACACTGGATATCCCCCGGGTCCCTCCCAACCCAGGGATGATAAGGGGGCATTCCACATGCAAAACAGTTTTCCCCCAACCTCAGGACATCCGTTCAGTGGGGAATCTCAGCCAACCTCCTGCAAAACACAGCAGGGGCCACTGGATGCTCCCATCTTTAAGAATGAAGTAAGTGGAATAACAGGTCTGAGGCTGCCCACAGGGAAGACTTTCTCACCGTGGGCGCCCTCTCCTGGACTTTCTGAGTCGGTCCAGCAGGTAACAAGCAGCGGCTGGGTCTATCACTAGCACCTGGAGCATCACCCTGTGTGTGGCCCAGTGGCATCCCCTCCTCCGGGTTTTGACACCATCAGGGCACAGGGCACAAAGCCTGGAGGCTGGAGCACTTCCCTGGGCACTAGCACCCCACTGCCTCTGCCCCTACCTGGACCACCTCTCCCCAGGGCCAGGGCACAGCCACCTGTCCAGTTCCGGTTGATGGTCTTTGATGCCCCCTCCATCCCTTCTCCCCTGGAAGAGTCTTCAAGCCAGTTCTGGTCACATCAGGCCCTGCTCAGGAGCCTGTGGGACCAGCTCCTGCACTGCAGCCTCTGTGACATGGGGACTGCGTGTCCCACAGTCCTCACCTCCTGCCCGCTCCCCTCTCTCCTGACTCCTCGCTGCCCACACTACAGACTAGAGGCCATGCCTCCCCTCTGTCCCTGCCTCTGGATGCACACAGCAGTGGCTGGCCAATATTTGTGACTTAAGACCATATGTCTTGGGCCCGTCAAAGTCCCAGCGCTGTCAAGGGTGGGATGGTTTGGAATAAGCTCCAGGGTTTTGTCTCTTGGCTCCAGAAAGCAGGGAGCAGACCTGCTGGGACATGGGGCACAGATTAGTGGGACTGAGCAGGACACCTTTTCAGAGCAGGACGAAGGCTCAGCTAGCCCAGGTGATGAACTCGTTCACTCACAAAGTGCTGCGAGGACTGGGTGTGTCCCCCATCCCAGTTCCAGTCCCGGGGCCACCCACCTGCAGTTTCCAGAGGAAGTCCAGGCGGGCGGTGGACTCTACTTGCTGGGCGTGCAGGTACAGGGCCAGCACGAAGACTGAGATGATGATGGGCGTCACCACCTTCAGCGCCACCTTGGTCGCATGCTCAGGGCTGCAGGCAGGAGGCAGATGCCTGGCACCTCATGGCAGGCTCAGAGGCCCCCTCAGGCCTTTGTCTTCCTTCTACTACTCCCCCTTCTCCTTAACCTCCCGCTCAAATTTTGCCTGAGGTAATGCCTCCTCCAGGAAGCCGCCTCAGCTGGCAGCCCTGTCTCAGCCCCTGCTCACACCAGCAGCTCAGCAGCCATTACTCCTCTCCTGATGCCCGCCTCTCCCCCATCACTGGGGAGCTTCCCTCTGGTCACATCAGGGGATAAATGAGGCCCTTGTAAAAGGCAGCATGTACATCCCAGGCATCTCCCAGTGGGCATAGTAATAAGGGAGCCAGGCAGGCCATACTGGCCATCTCTGGGCTTTGGGCAAGTCTCTCTTAACCTCTCTGAACCTTAGTTTCCTAATCTGTAAAATGGGATAACAATACCCACATTTTAAGAATTAAAGATACCAGGGGCACCTGGGTGGCTCAGCGAATTAAGTGTTCAACTCCTGATTTCAACTCAGGTCATGATCTCACAGTTGTGGGATCGAGCCCCTGCATCGTGCTCCAGGCTGAGCATGGAGCCTGCCTGGGATTTTCCCTCTGTCCCTCCCCTGCTTGCGCTCTCTCTCCAAAATAAATAAATAAACATTAAAAAAGAAAAGTACACAAAATTCCTTGTATAGCACCTGACAAACAGTAGGAACTCCACACCTGGTAGCTAATAATGACTAATTGCATTCCTGTTAACATTAATACACACTCTTCATAAAAGCTGCTCTCCCAAACCCTGCTTGCTCCCTGTCCCAGCAGAGAGCCTGAGCCTTGAGCACTGCACAGACTCCCTGACCAGCAGTAGCCCTAGTGCAGGGCCTACCCTACAAAGCCCACAGGCCTTGCTGGCCCCTCTCTTCTGGCAGGGAGCCAGGGGGCACCAGCTCCTATTCTCCTGGGCCTGGGGTCTGACACATGCTCCTGGGGAAGAGTGGGAAGCCAGATGCTTTAAGGTGAGGTCTCTGGAAATGACCTGTGCGTCCTAGGTCATCTTGGGCTGGTGGGAATCACACAAGAAAAGAAGGGCATCTACCCGATGAGGCATCCTTGGTCCCTGGGGAGTAAAGGGCTTCCCTGCCCCCTCCAGCCTTCTCCTTCACTGCCCACCTTGCCTCAGAGGCCCCCTCCCCAATGGGCACCACCGCCTTCTCTGCTGGGCCCTGGGCTGCTGGCCTCTGGCAGCTCTAGGCCAAGGGCAGGGAGAGGCTGTGTCAGAGGACTTGGAGAGTATCCACTCACCACTGGGAGGTCCCGTTGTTGCTGAAGTCTCTGTGAACAGGAAGCGGGGAGGGCTGTTCGGGGCTGCTCTTCGACTCGGCAGTCTCCACTCCCGCTCTGCCCCCCTCCCCCGTTCTGTCTCCCACCTTGCTCTGCCCCTCCCACCGCCATGCTCCCCCACCACTCCCAGCCCTGCTGCCCCGTGCCTGATACCACTGCCCCTACTATGGTTGCTCCCTCATCCCCCGCCCCCAACACCCCTCTGGATCCAAGGAGACTTTCAGGATGGGAGGCTTACAGAAAGCCCAGCCCCAACTAGCATCTGGTCTCCATGACCACAAATCACCCAGCCCATACCTGGGACCCTGGGGCCCCCAGCACCTCCGCCTGGACAGAAGCCAGCCCAGCCACCACCCCAGCCCTTTGCTGCATCCAGAGGAGAAGAAACACTACACCTATGCTGTGTCCAGTGTAGTTACCACAGCCACGTGTGGCTAGAGCCTTCAAGGGTGGCCAGTACAAGCTAAAATGTCCTGCAAATGTAACATAGATACTAGGTTTTGAAGAACTAGTGTGGGAAAAAATGTAATAGGTTTCATGAATCATTTTATATTGACTACATATTCAAATAATATCTTGAATATATTGGTTAAATAAAAATATGAAATTTGTATGCTTTGCCTTTTTAACATAGCTACTAGGAAAATTTTAAATTACATTGCATTATTTATCTATTGGACAGTGCTGCCCTGGAGCCAAGCCAGGGACTCCCAAACCAGAAATGTCCTCTGTTCTCTGCTGCTGCTTCAGCAAAGGAGGGGGGGGGGGGGGGGTGGGGGAAGGAACATGGTAGACCCTCAAGAAATATTTTTGGATGAATGGCTAGACGGATGAATGGATCCCATCCTATAACTTGCAGAAAACACAGTTTGCTGCATTTTCTCAGGGGACACAGACCTGTCACATTTTTTGCACTTCCCAATGTATATGTGTGTGGGGGGGGGGGGGGATAGAGTGATGGGAAGAAAAGAGCATTGATATCAGGCATTTTACCTACATTTTACTACTATAGGTATGATTCCCAATTTACTGGGAGCTAGGTAGCCTGAGGCACAACTCCCATGCCTGCTACCTAGATGTGGGACCTAACGACTCACCATCATAACTAGGAGCCTTTGAGCAGTGCACAGACTACCCAACCATCCTGGCAGCCCTGCCGACCTTGCTAAGTTGCTCTGAGGCTGAAAAGGGATAATGTATGTCCCAGTGTCTAGCTCGAGGCAGGACATAGAGCCCATGAACAACAAAGGCTGTTCTTTTGCTCTCACAGACCTTGCCGTCCAGCTCTGTTGAATCTTTACCCCTCTGGGCCTGAGGTGCCACAGGCAGATGGAGTTAAGTGAAAATAGCTCTTCAGAGACTGTCCTGAACAAATGAGGAACAATTCACTGAGGCCTGAGGGCAGGACTGAAAAACAAACCGGAGGGGACAGCAGGACCTACTCACCCTGAGGCCACTCCCCCACCCACTGGGAAAGAGAGGAGGAAGACTAGACACTGGTGCTTTGCCCAGGTGGTAGGCTGGGGGGCAACACAACACTCCCCTCGCAAGCCCCCTGCAGCCCAGGTTCCCAGCCGCCTGCTCTTCCAACCTCCCTGCACTGTCCCTGACCCAGTGTGGGGAGCCACCTACATGGCGTTGGCGGTGACCAGCAGGTCGGCGTTGTCAAAGAGGGTGACGCGGGGCACCTCAACAATGAGCACATATGTGAGCTCAATGGCCAGCATGAGCACCAGCTTCCCAATGCAGCTGATCTGCAGGAACACGGAGCAGGCCAGCAGGCTGAGCAGCACGCTGTAGGTGAAGTACTGCGGAGAGAGGGCAGCGGGCTTCAGCGCCCTGGCCCCACCCTTCCCGGCCCCACGCCCCGCCCCCCTGAGCCAGCCATGTTTTGGCCAATGGGAACTTGTGACGAAACCAGAAGGGCCCTGGTTAGGAACCAGAAGATGGGGCTCTAGGCTGAGTCTGGCCAATGCTGGCAGCAGCGCCCAGTGGTTAGAGCAGAGCTCCAGGCTCAGGCAGACTTGAGTCGTAACTCTGATTCATTGTGGACTGTTGGTGTGACTTGCGCCATTTATTCAACTTTTCTAAGCCTCATTTTCCCCATCTGCAAAAGCTCCAATGTCACCGTCTCACCGCTGCCATTCCATGAGAGGAAGCGCCTGGTGCCCTCAGTAACTGCAGAGAGCACAGGCCCCAGCCCCTGACCTGCAACGTGAAATCCCACGGTTTGCAAACCGAAACTATTTTCATGACTAATGTGGTGGCAACATCTGAACTGGCCTTATTTGGTGACAAAGACTGTCCCACGTGATGTGATGCTAATTATCATCTTTAGCCTGCTTCTGGGGACGATTCATACATTTTGCTGCAGAAATATTACTGTATTTCATTATCAGGTGCTGCCCAGGCTACACTGGGGGTGTGAGATACTCTTTCAAACTCTGAAAACTTCCAAAGTTCTGAATCTGTCTGGCCCAGAAGGCTGCAGACCAAGGATTGTGTCCCTATACGATTTACCCTGGGGAAGTCCCTTCTGGTCTTGGAGCCTCGGTTTCTTTCTCAGACAATAAGGAGCTGAACCAGAGACCTCGGAGGTTCCTTTCTGCTCTGTCGTCCCCTGATGCTAATCCTAGACATGCCACCGTCGTTATTTTGTTCTTTTAAATTTAGCATCGTGACTTCTGAGTCAGGCACTCAGACTCACTATGCACTTCCTCTGCTTTGAGCTGGAGGCCAAATGGCAGTGGGGGACGCTCCCAGGTTGGACCTTGAGCCTCTTCAGGCCTTCAGGAACCCAGAGAGGGGATACAGAGGGCCCCTTGGGAGGGGCCAGCCTCAAGCCACTACCTGGAACAGGGGCAGAGGAAGGAGTGGGGGGGGGGTCCACCCAGATAAAAACAGCCCCAAGGATAATAATCCTGTCCTTGGGGGCGGGGGGGGGGGGGGGGTGGGGAGGGAGCCCCCAGGGCCAGCCTGGATGCCCATTCAGACCCTGAGCCAGACAGCCAGGAGGCCAGGGCTTACAGGTGGTGTCCCCAAGGGCCTTGGGATCTGTGAGGAGTTGCTGAATCAGAAGACATGTGAGCCTGAGAGCTCTGTAGTCATCAAGGCCTGGGGTCAGTGGGACTGGAACTGGTCAGACTGGTGAGGGCTGAAGGCTGGGACCAACCGTCTCCCTCAAGTGAGGAGCCGGAATAAACCCTGCAGCCACCATCCCCACTCTCTTCGCCCACTCCTCAGCATCTGCCATGAAGCAGCAGCCACCAAGGGGCAACTGTAAGATCAAACAAGCCCCTGCTTCTCAGCAAACAGCCCTCAGGCAGCAGCTCCTGTGAGCTCCGCCAGCTGCACGAGGGAGCAGAGGCAGAAGGGAGACTCGGCTGCTCCCCCCTCCACCGCCCCGGCAGGTTGGGAGGGCTCAGCCGGACCCAGCGGCAGGTGGAAGACAGGCGCTTGTCTAGGTGAATGCTGGCGGGAGTCCTGCCCTTCATGGAGGTTCCCTTGTCCCATCTGTACAGGGGAGATGGATCGGGCTCCTTCCCAGGGCTGGGGGAGGGAGGCCAGCTCTGTGACTGCCCCGGCGGCCCTCACTGCAGTTCTGGACCTTTGTGTGAGTCACGGGGCCCTTTTGGAACTGGATGAAAGCTTGGACTTTCCCCAGAAAAGGGTAACAACTACCGTCACCTCACAGGTTCCGTGAGAGCCCCGAAGGCAGCTGGGGTATGGGAACTACCCAGTGCATGCAGTAGATGCCCTGGGCTGGAAGCCTGGCCTCAGGCTCGGAGAGCTTCCTGAGGAAAAGGTGAATGACGCACCGCACATACCATCGGCACTTAATGCATGCTGCTCTCTAAGGGTTCTCGGTGTTTAAACCCAATAACCTATGGGTATGACTTCTTTGGGGGTGATGAAAATGTTCTACCTAGATTACGACGATGGCTGCACACATCTGTGAATATCCTAAAAGCCACTGAATTGTATGTACACTTTGAATGGATGACCTTGATGGCAGTACCGGGCTGGGACTGGGTTCCTTTGCTTCCCTCCCTGCTCTCTGGCCCATAGCAGAGAAGCTCAGGCAGGTTCTCCTGAGGCAGGCCTGCTCCAAAGTGAAGGGTCCACAAACAGCTCTGCCCTCAGGTTAAGGCTAAGAATTCTGGAGCCAGAGGACCTGGGTGAAAGCTCTGGCTTTACCACTTCCTAGCTGTGTGACCTTGGGCAAGCGACTTACCCTCTCTGTGCCTCACTTTCATCTGTGTAAAAAAGACGTTAACAGTGTCTATGTCAAAGGGCTGCTGTGAGGACAAAATGAGTAAATCTATGTCAAATACTCAGCACAGTGCCTGGCCCATGGCAAGCATGCTGTTTTACTGTTGCATGGAGAAGGCTGGCCTCGTTCACTGATGTACGGCACACGGACTGAGAGACTGGGACAAGGTCTCTGGGATGGCTGTGAGCTTGAGAGCCCTTGACTCCCCCAGAGCAGCCAAAGGCAGAGAGGGAGCGGGGCAGAGGGGTCTGTCTGCACCCAGAGCCCCCTGCCCATTACCTCGGGGAAGTTGCAGTTGGGCCGGGGGCTGCTGCAGAAGCCCTGCTCGTCACCCAGGCTGTAGTTCACTGCCGACTCCACCACATGGCACGCGTTGACCTGGCTGGTGCTGATGTTGTGCTCGTCCGCCAGGCAGCCAAACAGGTCCTTGGAGTTACACATGAACTAGGGGCAGCGGGGGAGAGGGTCAGCTGTGGGGGCCAGGCGAGGGCAGCCCATCTCCACAGGGCAGCGGGTGTCTGTCCACCCTGGTCTCAGGTGCAGCCTGACACTGACAGGGGGGACAGGAGAGGAGCCTGGAAGAAGTCAAGGAGCCGGCAAGGTTGGCCCGGCTGCCCAGGCTAGGGCTCGTAAACGTCCCCTGGTGACTTCCTGAGTCTTTCTGGTCCCTCCAGCCTTGAGAGCAAGGAACTAAAAGCCTGTGTGAGAGGCTTTAGGAGTCAAATCTGAATCCAGACCTGAGGGGAAGACCGAATAAGTAATTCTGGGGGGGAGGGAGCCCCCGGGAGGGGGGGGGGGGGGGGGGGGTAGAGCCACCTACCATGTTGACAAAAGCCGACAGGAACACCAGGGTGATGGTGAACACTCCGACCAGGGTGCTGTTCGTCTTGGACCGCACGATCTTCCTGGAAAGGGTCTGCAGCGGGGCCGGGAAGAGCTGAACCAAGGGAAGAGGAGGGAGAGAGAGACAGAACAGAGTTCAGTGAGGACTCTCCAGACCGCCATAGAGGAGCTGGGGGAGCCCTCCCTCCCCTCCACCTTTGTCTCGTGCCAGCATAACCCCAGGTCCTTTCCGAATGCCCTCCTAGTGTGCAAGTGTGCGATGGCTCACACCACTGACCCACTGCTCCCGGCCGACGACAGCACAGAATCTGTGGCTGGCCAGGAGTGAGTCTACCTGGGAAGCTTACAGGGGAGAGAGGCGTGGTGGAAGGAAAGGTGCTATCCTGCCCCCAGCAGAACAGAGGAAAAGGCACATGAATCCGCCATGTGAGTTCTGGGCTGGTCAGGGTTACAATCAGGCAGTTAAGGAAGCCTGGAAGGACCCAGAACTTTCCCAAGGAGGGTCGGAAGGCTTCTTGGCAGTAAGAAGCTGTGGGTCTGAGGACTTGGAGAAAACTTAGGGTCTGAAGGGAGGAAATGGGCTTGTGAGAAGGGGACAGAGTAGCATGTGAGCAGGAGGGTGGGGCCCTAGACAAGTGAATTAAGTGAACCTTTTGTTCAGGACTCCCATTGATCTCCTGTTTCCCCTCACCTACCCTCCCTACATTTCCTTCAATTAGACAAACAGCATGTCCAACCAAAGACCCACCTCAGTTTTGGTAGCTAAATGACCCAGTCCACTGTATCTACACAGTTGGCTTTGTCCACCATGGCGGGTGCCAGGAGTAAAGGCAGAGTGGGGAGTTAATTGGTTAATGGGTATAGAGGTTCAGTTTGGGAAGATGAAAAAGTTCTGGAGACGGACAGTGATGATGGTTGCACCAGAGAGTGAATGCATTTAATGCTGCTGAACTGTACATTTAAAAAGGTTACAACGGAGAATTCTGTATTATGTACCATTTAAGAAAGAAAGCAAAAAGACAACCCAGAGAATAGGAGAAAATTGTTGCAAACCATATCTCTAATAAGGGTGCTGCAACCAGAATACAGTAGTCTCCTCTTATGCGTGGGGATATATTCCAAGACCCCCCCCCCAGAGGCCTAAAATTGTAGACAGTACAGAAATGCATATATACTATGCTTTGTCCTATATACATACACTTAGCATAAAGTTTAATTTATAAATTAGGCATGGTTAGACATTAATAACAATAACTAATACAAATGTAGAACAATTACAAAAATGTACTACAATAAAAGTTATGTGAATGTGGTCTCTCCTCTCTCTGAAAATATCTTATTGGATTCGCCCTTCTGCTGACGATGTGAGATGATAAAATGCCTACGTGATGTGAGGAAGTGAGGTGAATGATGTAGGCACCGTGAGGTAGTGTTAGGCTACTACTGACCTTCTGACAATACGTCAGAAGGAGGGTCATCTGTTTCCAGACCACAGGAACTGAAACCATAATAAATGAAATCATGGATAAGGGGGGGACCACAGTATACAAGGAGCTCTTCCAACTCAACAATAAGACAACCCAATTTAAAAATGGGACAATGATTTGAATAGGTATCTCTCCAAAGAATCTATACAAATGGCCAATGAGCACATGACATGAAAAGATGTTTGTTGTGAGTCATCAGGGAAATGCATATCAAAAACATGAGATACCAGCTCACACCCACCAGGATGGCTATAATCCAAAAGTCAGGTGATAGTAAGTGTTGGTAAGGACATAGGGATATCAGAATCCTCATCCATTGCTGGTGGGAATGTAAAATAGTGCAGGTGCTTTGGAAAACAGGTTGGCAGTTTCTCAAAATGATCAACAGTTACCATATGACCCAACAACTGTACTTGTAGGTATATACCCAAGAGAACTGAAAACGTAAGTCCATGTAAAACCTCGTATACAAATGTTCATAGCAGTACTATTCATTATAGCTTGAAAGTGGAAACTACTCGATAAACTAAATGTGATATTTCCACAGAATGGAATGTCATTTGGCCATGAAAAGGAACAAAATGTTTTTACATGATATGACACGGGTGAACCTTGAGAGTATATGCTAAGTGAAAGAAGACAATCTCAAAAGGCCACACGTTGTAGGAGTTCAGGCAAATTCATACGGACAGAAAGGAGAGTTTGAGGCTGCCAGGGGCTGTGGCGAGCAGGGAATGAACAGCGACTGCTAACAGGTATGGGGTTTCTTTTCAGGATGATGACAATGTTCTGGAGTTATAGTGGTTAACAGGTGCCCAACTTTATGAATATACTAAAAACTACTGAATTACAGTTTCATCCACCTTCATAAAGGTGCATCTTATAGATGTGAATTGTATCTCAATAAGGAACTTATTAAACAGCTCTTACCAGCTGCCTGACCCTGGGAAAATCATCAAGGGCTCTGAGCCGCAGCTTTCCTATTTATATGTAGGGGAGATCTATCTCCCAAGGTGGCCATGAAGACTCGGTGAAATGATGCATACCAAAGTGCTTCGTGAGCTGCTAAATTCAATAGAAAATTTAGTTAATATTTGCATTTTTAAAGAGCTCTATTGCCAGTAAGAGTGAAAATCCCGGGGCGCCTGGGTGGCGCAGTCGGTTAAAGCGTCCGACTTCAGCCAGGTCACAATCTCGCGGTCTGTGAGTTCGAGCCCCGCGTCGGGCTCTGGGCTGATGGCTCAGAGCCTGGAGCCTGTTTCCGATTCTGTGTCTCCCTCTCTCTCTGCCCCTCGCCCGTTCATGCTCTGTCTCTCTCTGTCCCAAAAATAAATAAAAACGTTGAAAAAAAAAATAAAAAAAAAAAAGAGTGAAAATCCCTGTTTCCTATTGAAGGACTTTTTTTTCATAGATGGGGAAAGTGTTCTGGCACTAGCATGAGGATCCCACTCTGAAAAGGTATGACAGATGGTTTCTAATTTTTGTCTGCTTGAAATGTTGCCATTCCATCCTATCCCCCGACCCATGTTATTTAAATAATTTCAGTTCTAATCACCCTATCCATCAATTTAAGGGTTTCTTTTATTATTTTGCACTCGCCGATGAGATGTAGGCAAAAGTTATTAGTTATTAGAAATTGGCTGGGGAACAGGATATGCACACGGGCTTGCTTCCCGGGGAAGGTGGGACCAGGAGCCCCACAGGGGCCACCCAGAGGCCGGGAGAAGAACTGCAGGCTATTTTTAAAATTCAGGCTGGAAAAGTACTTCACATCTAACAAATGATTGGCTTTTAATGCACTGGCTTGCTACAAGCCGATTTCCTTTGTCATCCTTTAAAAAGACCTGCTCTTCACTTTAAAACTTCAAATCTCCAGAAGATTTGACATCCTGCTCTGGTATCAGTTGATATAGGGTATCTCATCTCCTGTAGTCAAAAAGTTCATCTGTATGTTGACCCTAACTCCCATCATATTAATCCCAGTGCGGACGGTGAACGTCTTCACCTGGACAGAGTTTTCTCACAGAGATGCATCACAGCTGCCACCAGATCTTGGAGACTATTTTTTTTTTTTTCCAGCAGGATAATTGTGCCTGTGCAAACAACTGTTCAATGCCTGCTCACTCACAATTAGAGCTCAAAAAACAAAAACAAAAACAAAAACAAAAAGATTAAAAAAAAATTCCAAACCAGTACATTCCCAGTCCCATGAACTCAAATCAATTCAACATGAAATACAGGAGTGGGGACATAATTAATAAACCATGACTGGGGTGAAGGACAGTTTTGATCTCGGCCACTCTGAAAACCTCCAGGCAAACTGATGACCAGCCTGGGGTCCTGGTTCTGTGATGTGGGGTCAGGGTATTGCAGAGATGAAAAAAGGTGATGAAATCTAATGGGGAAAAAAATGAAGAAAACAGCCTTTTTGACAAGAAACTGATTTTAAAAAGCAGTAGCTCCTACTTTACGACATTTTTTTTTTTTTTTTTTTTTTTTTTTTTTTTAAGATATAAAAACTGCAGAGGCCAAACAAGGCAGGCTCCACACCACTGCACTCCTCGGGGTCAAATGGACATATTAACAAAAGCAGTGTCTTTGGGAGGAAGGACTGTGGCTCTGGAATCTAGAACCACTGGGGTTTAAATCCCAGCTATGGCACCTCCTAGCCCCAGGGCTTCAGGAAAGCTGCCTAACCTCTCTGAGCCTCACTGACCCCATCTGCAGTATGGATATGATAAACGCCCTCTTTAAAGCTTAGAAAACACAGCTCCAAGTGCAGAGCTGGGATGTGGACCCTCAACTGCCTGGCTCAACAGCCATGGGATGAACTGAAGATACGCCTCCTGGAGTGAAACGCTCTCTATCCCCAAAGAAACGTGTGTCTGGCAAAATGTATCCTCTAACAGACAAAACGTGCCCCTGAGCCTGCTGGGAGAAGGTGAGTGTGGGGCTCTAAAGTCCCCACAGGACAGAAGATACCTAAGAGGTAAGAGGTACTGTAGTGTAGTAAGACCCTATTTCAGAAACTGGGGACAGTAGCCAGGCTGGGGTAGAAAGAAGTGCCAGCAAGGGCAGGGGGGTGCGGTGGTGGACTTCAGGCTGCAGGGAGGGAGAAGAGGTTTCTGGTGACTGCGCAGAGCACACAGAGCCTAGATGCAGCCCTGGCCACGGTTCCCAGGAGCTCAGGCAGTCAGGTCCCAGGAGTCTGTGGGAGACAAGCTAAGAGGAGCCCGCAGCCTGGAGGATGGAGATTTAAATACACACATGTATACACCTGTGCACGCAAGCATGCACACACACGCCCAGAGCTATGTGGCCAAGTACTCCTTCTGTGCCTATCTACTCCCAAGCTCCAAAATGTAGGAAAGGAGTCTGGCCTTCCAAGTAAGAACGTGCTAATGAGCCACAGTAAAGACAGGGGGCCCAGACCAGAAGGTGGGGAAAGGAGGCAGCCAACCTCTCCTACCCATCTAAGTGGAGGTAGCAGAAATGCTAGCATTGTCAGAAACAAGCATAGGAGGCTGGGGCAGAAGTCACAGGGAGGCTGATGGAACAGTCAGAGGTGCCCAAAAAGAGGAGAGGCTGTACTCAGGAGACACGACTGAGCTCACCATCCCTGAAGGTAATCAAGCAGAGGCCAGCCCATCCTTATTATCATAAAGGGATTCCAGTCTCAGGTGGGTGTCTGGGCTGCTTCACTGCTCCAGCCATTTCCAATTTGAGATTCCGAGTCCGGACCCTTGTGTGATGGCAAGGAGGGATGCAGCGTGGCTTTCTCTTTTCTTTTTAAATTTAAAAAAAAAAAATTTTTTTTTTTAATGTTTATTTATTTTTGAGACAGGGAGAGACAGAGCATGAACAGGGGAGGGGCAGAGAGAGAGGGAGACACAGAATCGGAAACAGGCTCCGGGCTCTGAACGGTCAGCACAGAGCCTGACGTGGGGCTCGATTTCACGGACCGTGAGATCGTGACCTGAGCCGAAGTCGGACGCTTAACCGACCAAGCCACCCAGGCGCCCCTCTTTTTTAATTTTTTTAACGTTTATTTATTTTTGAGAGACAGAGAGAGACAGAGCATGAGTGAGGGAAAGGCAGAGAGACAGGGAGACACAGAATCTGAAGCAGCTAAAGGCTCTGAGCTGTCAGCACAGAGCCCGACATGGGGCTCAAACCCACAAACCGTGAGATCATGACCTGAGCTGAAGACAGACGCTTCACCAACTGAGCCACCCAGGCGCCCCTCAGCATGGCTTTTTCTAAGACAAGCAGCTGTGGGGCCCAGGGCAGCACAGATGCCAAGGGAAGGGAGGAGCGACGTGTGCAGATGCTCAGACTGCCCTTCTGAGACGGCATCGCCAGAAGAAAAGAAGTGCTCCAGGGATGATCCTTAGGGCAAAGCAGCCCGGAGACCGCGGGGCCCTGAAGGGAAGCTGATGCTCTGAGCAGCGAGGCCAGGAGACCAAGACACCAGGTTAGCCCCAAGTCCCCAGAGATGTCTGTGAACCAGATCACGCTGTGTCAGGAAAGGACCAAACAGGCCCACCATGAAAAGGCCATCGGAGCACTCGGTGGAAAGTTCCAGAAAAACTTTCCCACAAAAAGGACCCAGGAAGCCATTCCCTGACAGACAGCTGACACAACTAACTTGGCTAATCCGACTAATTCAGTCGATACTTTCTTCACATTTCTCTCTACAAAAAGGTGAAAACATCGACATTTGAGCAAGGAAGGCCACGCTGTATTGGGGAAATGGGGAAATGGGAAAACAAATGGAAAAGAGAAAGAAACCATGTCTGACAGAGCTGCCTGGCTTTGGATCCGCTGGGCTCATGCTGCGGGTAATTTAGAACTGTCATATCTCATCAGAAAGTCACTGCCCATGACTCCTGAAAAACTGTGCAAGATGAGAAATGTCTGGGTTCTGCTAAAGGGCAAGTGTTTTTGAAGTGAAAACAGAACGACACGGAAAATTCCAGTTCAGTCAGCTATAGGGCAATACCTTGAAAAGGTGATAAAATCAACTTTTAGTCCGTGCACCTGCAGGCAGTGTGCAGTGGGGTCCGGGACAGGCCGCGCCCGGCATTAGGGAAAGCGAGGCCAGTCCACCCTGCTGCACAGATGCCAGAGAAGTACCCCTGTCACATCTCAGTGTGCAAACAGTTCATCCACATGGAAGAGGAAAGAATAATGAAATGGAAGAGGAGTTCAAGCTACAGACAACTTCTCCAGTGAGGGTCTACTTCCCAGAAAGTGGAGAAATGCTGAGAAGATGGCGCATCAGAGGTGGTGGTGGGGGGGTGGTGCAGGGAAATGCAGTGAGGACCTCAAGGTGGGTACTACAGTCTACTTGACTCCTGGCCCAAAGGCCCAAATCAGCAGGTGTCAGATTTGTTATGCCAGGGAGCACTTTTCTCCTAAATAGTTTATAGAAGCTCTATATCTATAAGCTGGAAGCAGCAGCCTCTCCTGGTTGAGGGGGGTGTGTGCAGAGGGGCGAGGGATGGAGTGGGTGGGGGACAGGCACTCCATCCACCAGGCTCTCCCGCCGAGGGAACCCTGGCCACCACAGAAGCGTCAGAAAAATCATTGAGCTGGATAAAGGAATTGAGAATAAAATTATTGAAGGTGACATTGATTACAAAATAGATAGATTCAAAAAAACACAAGGAGGCAGGAATGATTTTCATAAATAATCTCGAACAGTGGCAAAAAGAATTCACTGGACCAAAGTATTAACTCAAAATAGCCAGTGCAGGCGGGGCCATGAGCCTTCCTCCCCCACCTCCACTCCCCCCTACCATCAGGAACACATGCCAATCAGGAAACATAAATGAAGTCAGAGCAGCTCAGATTTCTCAAAGCAGGGAACAGGAAAGAGAGAAGTCTAGATTCTAGTTTTAAAATTGTAGACTACATATAGCTTTGATTCAGACTTGAATAAGCTCATTGGGTACGTCAAACAATGACTTTGCCTCAATTTATAACTTAAAAAGACGATTCTTTTGGATGTTCAGGTAAAGAATGTTTACAAGGCCTTTTTAGCTATGGTGCACCTTTTTTCTTAGGTTGTTGTGACTTTACTGTGGTAAAATACATGTACCATAAAATTTGCATTTTGGGTGCCTGGGTGGCTCAGTCAGTTAAGCGTCTGACTTCGGCTCAGGTCATAATCTCACGGCTTGTGAGTTTGAGCCCCGCATCGGGCTTTGTGCTGACAGCTCAGATCTTGGAGCCTGCTTTGGATTCTGTGTCTCCCTCTCTGCTCACACTCTGGCTCTCTCTCAAATTAGTAAATAAACATTTAAAAAAGATAAAAAATTTGCATTTTAACTGTACAAATTAGTGGCATTAATTATATGCATAATGTGCAAACCATTACCACTCTATTTCCAAAATGCCCTACTTCCAAAACCCTTCCATCACTCGATACAGAAACTCTGCACCCACGAAGCACTAATTCTCCATCCCCCATCCTGACAACCTCAGGACCCTCTATCTGCTTTCTGTCTCTATGAATTTGCCTATTCCAGATATTCTACACAAGTGGAATCATACAATATATGTCCCTTTGAGTCTGGCTTCTTTAAGCATGTTTTCAAGGTTCATCCATATTGTAGTGTGTGTCAGAACTCCATTCCCTTCTGTGGGTATGTGACAGTCCATTGCGTAGATATACCATTTTTGCTTATCTATTCATCTGTTGATGGACATTTGTGTTGTTTCCCTCTTTTGGCTACTGTGAATGTACCATGTACTTTCACAGCCACGAGATAGAGAAAGTGGAAGTGCTCCCGAGGGAAAAAGCAGATTGGGAGTGAGGTGTAGGGGCAAGACAACAGAAAGACCAAAAGGCAGGAGGTGACTCAACACAGACTTGAGGAAGGAGCTGGTGGAGAGGCAGGGGACTAGGATTAAACCCTATGAGGCAGTGAAGTCACTGGCCAAGCACACAGCTCAACACGCCAACTGACCCAGGCCCACCCTGCCTCCCTCGGGGTGTCACCTTCTGTATCCGCTCAGGGGGAGGGCTAAACCACTCCGGAGGATTCCCAGTTGGGGGGTGGGGGGGGGCTTCCAGTTCTGACAATTAGTCTACCAAGACCTTGACCATTAGGTAATTAAACAATTAACAATCTAACAAAATACCCTGCTTTGAGTGTGGAGAGAGAAAGGGGACTCTGGAGGTGACAAAGGTCCAATCCTTCCAGAAGAAGAATGTGGTTCTTACTGCAGTGTGTGTAGGGAATGACGGCAGAGTCTGCCCCCCACCCTGCCCAGGGCTTGGCTCCAAGTGAGTGTTGAGGAGGAGCAGAGAAATGGTTACAGCAGAAGCCGGAGGGGCTTGTCCCTGCCTGAGGACAGAGTGCTTTCTGGGGCCAGGCTGTCCCATCAGGGAAGTCTTAAACCACTAGGGAAGGAAATGACGGAAAGGCTTGGTGGACAAAGCAAAGGGGAACCTGAGTGATTTCCACCACAGACCAGAATGGCTTGTGGCCAGGTCTCCTGAAGGACACAGCCTGCCTAAGAGGAGGCAGGGGAGAAAAACACAGAATAGGATTTTCTGCCCACATTATTAGCTGTGTGGCCCTGTTTGAAACACTGAACCACTCTGGGCCACTCTCCTCATCTATATGATGGGCGATTCAAAAGCCATCATCCCTGTGGTCCCCCCAGAGCCAATTCCAGGCACATGGGGACACTGAAGGGGGTGTTGAGAGAGGTCTCTTCCACACTCAGCCTTTTAGCAAATATTTATTGACCATTGCTCCAAGCAGGCATTGTGCTAGGTGCCCTTCCTTCATCCTACCGGATACCAAGGGGACAGACAGAAGAGGCAGTGACACTACCTCCTTGTTGCAAAGATTTGCAAAGGCAGATTAAAGTAGCCAACACAAATAAGGCTCCACTGACAAAGTGCTCCCTATAGTCGAGCTTGCTGCCAATGCCAATCAAGAGTTGTGCCCCAGCATAATGTACCCCTGACCCCAAGGGTGACTCCTGGGCTCCTGGGAGGAGCTCCTTATCAGTGGGCTGGGGAGGGAGGGAAGAAGGTGGCTGGGGACTCAGGTGCGAGCTAGACTCACCTTCACGCAGGAATAAATCACGGACACAAACACCACCAAGGTCAGCAGCAGGAAACAGGTCAGGTAGAAACTCAACATGAACACGGAGCTGGAAAAAGAGAGGAGGTGGGGAATTCTGGGGCCCTGAAAACCTCTGGAAGGAAAAGGAAGTTGCTCCATTCCCCCTGAATCCATTGCCCAGTCTTTTCTAGCCCCTGATTCACTAAGAAGGGCTTACACAGCCTTGAGAACTGATTCAGGACCCCTCCGTAATGGTCTGGCTCCTGTCCTTGCCACCTCCCCGCACCTCCCTGTGGGGAGCAGAAGCCTGCAGCGAGGGGGGGGGGGCGCTAAAGGGAGAAGCAAGTGTCACCTGCTCAATATTTTGCCTAATTAAGGACCTGTTTTAAAAATCACCTGGTTATTCCCTCCAAGTAGTTACTCTCAGCTAGGATTAACTGTGAAAGCTGGAAACAGATTTGATAAACAGCCATCATTTTTAAAAATGCATTTGTCAGCAGCCTGACCAGACACTCTGAGAAACATCAGTGATGTATCCTTCTAGAGGAGAGAGTCCCTAAATCTTGTCCCCTGCCAAGCCCCACACCAAGTCCTACTCAGTTTTGCTCCCCTGCTCTTCAGCCAGTTCAGCAAGAAAATGCAAGGAACCCCCCCCCCCCCCCCCCCCCCCCCCCGCCCCTTCTTCCCGAGGCAGATCACGGGTGACTTTCACCATGGGCCAGAATCCTCAGACAAAAGAGTGGCCAGTGACTTTCCACCTGGAACCTTCATTTGGCCCTCCTGGGGCAGGGGCTGGCCAAGGTACACACCATCATATCAGGAGACCACAGAAGTCTCTTTTCCCTTTCAGGGTGTGAGAATGGCCTAGAGATGCCAGGCGTTGTGAGCCAGTTAAAGGCAAGTGGATGACTTGAAAAGGCAGGTGAATACCTCTAGAGAGGCATCCAAAGGGCGTCTGTGTTCCAGGCTCCCCCAGAAGCCAGCACTTAGATGCCTTACACAAATAGAACAAGGTAGAGAACTCTCTTCAGAGGGAAAGAAAGACCTTTAAAGTAGGTCTTTCCTGCTTCTGTAGAGAAAGGACTGCTAGAGAAAGACTTCCGTCAATGCCTTCGCAACTCAGAGCTGCAGCCAGGGGGAATGAAGCCACTGTGGGCAGAGCAGGGAAGGAGGAAAACCCCGCCCACATGCTGCAGAAAAAGAAAAGCGGCCCAGAGGCAGGGTTATGCGCCCAAGCTAACTGGACTAGCAGGTGCAGTGGGACAGAGGACTAGGTTGCCTATTTATACCTGTAGCTCCATTTCAATACCAGAAAAATTGGATCCTGTGGCAATAAGGACCCACAGTCCCACCAGCCCTGCGCCACCTCCGTGTGGGGGGCAATGGGCATCAGCTGCACAACCAGAGTGGAACTGGCTGCCAGTGTCTGGTATCCTGACAGAGTCATAGTGGGTACACATGTAATGGCTATCTCTGCAACAACGTGTCATTAAAAATTCAAGGCTTTGAGCAGCAAGACATGAAGGCATTGTGTACCTCCTGATAACATGCACTAAGAAGGACACATCACTTGTATGGGATTCTTGTCAAAAAAGCATAACCTCAGTCTAATCATGAGAAAACATCAGACAAGCACAAATTGAGATATCTGCACATTAATTGGCCAGTACTCATCAAGGGTGTTAAGGCCACAAAAGACAAATAAAAGCTGAGGAAGTATCACAGATTAGCTGGGGCCAAGGAGACAGAAGAGGTAAATGCAATGTGGGATCCTGGACTGGCCCCTGGGACACAAAAAGGCCATTAGGGGCAACACTGACGGAATTAGATTACGGTCACTAGTTACTAGTGTCACCCCAGTTACTAGTGTGTCATGCCAGCGTTAATCTCCTGGTTTCGACCATCACACTACAGTTATGTAAGTGGTCAACATGAGGGAAAACTGGATGAAGGATGTACAGAAACCCTCCATAATACTCTTGTCACTTTTTTATAAGTCTATAATTATTTCAAAATGAAGAGTAGAAGGCTTTGGGATGAGGGGCCCCTTCTGGATCAAGCTGGACTTAGGAAACATAACTGAACACAACCAGTGGGTCCTGGGTAGATCCTGGCTATGAATAAACTAACAGTTGAAGACGTTGGGAGACAATTTTGGAAATCTGAACATGGACTTGGTGTTACACGACTGCAGAGAACCGCTGCTAATTTTGTCTGGTGTATAAGGCACTGTGGTTAAGAAGGGAAAGCCCTTAAAATAGGACTGTATTGAGGGTTTTTGAGGGGAGGGGGGGGAATGTCTTTTTGTCTAAAATTTAAATAAGCAGAAAAGAAACAGATAAATTATAAAATATCAACAATAGTTATACTTTACAGTATAGAGGATGGGTGCTGCTTATATTAATTACTTTTCTGTATGTTTGAAAGGTTGCATAAGAAGTAACAAATATGTGTACAGACATGGGCACACACACATACAAATGTATACACACACACGCAAACAGACATGGAGGAGTTATCTTTCCTGTTTAGATGTGACTCTACTGTGACTATGTCCCTAACACTTCATCTCAAAAAGCCCACTGGCAACATCCGAGTGGTTCCTCAGAAGCCACAGGCCTCTGTAAGGGACACAGTCAGTCCTTGGAAGCATTCTAGAATATCTCTTTGAGGAAAGCCATCAGAACCAGAAATCCATTCTTTGAAATACCCAGAGTTGCAGAAAACCCTTATCTTTTGAAGATGTATTGATGATTTTGCAAGAACCAAAGGTCACACAGAAGCAAACCTGAGTACTTTTGGGTGATTTAACGGGCAGCCGCAGTGTGGGTACAATGGGCCAAGATGACGAAGTGCCGACAAGGAGTCTCTCATGCAGCAAGGCAGCGCCCAGAGGGAAATCTCCCACCCTGGAAGGAGCAACTCACCTCTCTGTCACAAGGGAGTCAGACTTGTAGCTTCCCGGTCCCACCGAGGACACATTTGGAAACTTCTCTCTGTCTAAACAGGCTTAGCGCAGACCTCCGCCTCTGCTCTCCTACATGACCTCCCCTCCCACCCTTGAAGCCCCACAGCCAGAGGGACGGTACTTACTGGGGCACGATGGTGATCTGGACAAAGCAGATGAAGAGGAAGACAAGCGAGGCACATGCCACATAGGCACCAAATCGGTCATCCACCTGCTTGGAGTACTGAGAGAGATGTGCGGGGTGAGAGGGGCAGAGACACCTGGCCCCGTCCACTCCAGCCCCGCTCCACCCCAGACACTCCCAAGACCTGGAGACCTGGAAGAACCAGCACTAGCCTTGGTGCTCAAGAAACCAGTCCAAAGCACTATAAAGTGGTGCCTGTTGGGGAGGACAGTTGAATTGTGTCAAACCAGAAACTTCCTGTAGGTCGGGTCACCATGAGAGTAACTCGTCACGATCATGGCTCACATCACAGAGCACCATCTGCGTGCTAGGACACATATCAGGTCTATGGCATCCTTATGCATGGACGTAGGTACTGGACCTATATAGCTGCTACTTCCCAGGTGAGCGAGCTGGGGCTCAGAGAGGACATGAGGCTCACCCAAAATCACAGAGCTCGTCTCTGAGGGCCCAGCTCCCAGCCCCAGCTCCTCCCAAGACACCAACAGGTGGTGGGAACAGAGGCTGTGCTGGCACAGAGTCACCAGAGAGGGTGCTTTGTGACTCAGTTCCATTAACTGCTGGTGAACAGTGCTTGCCTCCTAGGCTTGCCTCACTGGACGATGACGTGAGTTCACACAAGCCCGTTTTAACTCAACACTGGGGAAACGCCGTGGCGTGGGCAAAGACCCTGGACCAAGGTCTGGTTCTGGCTCTTTCACTACTTCACTGGTGGCCTAGAGCAAGTCACCCAACCTCTCAGTCACAATTTAAGGAGATGGGACAAAGAGATCTCAACTGACTGCCTCTTCCAAATGTTTTCCAGTGTGCCAGAGGCAGCAGGGGGATCCACTGGTGATGATAATGATAGCAATAATAGCAACGATAAAAATAACATAAACAGCAATGGACATTCACGGAACATCTATGTGGCCAATACTATCTTATGTGCTTTCTATATATGGATTTATTTAATACTCACTATGACCCTATGAAGAAGGTATGTTAAATATCCCCATTTTCCAGATAAGGAAATGGAGACATGAGGAAGTGAAGACTTCTCTCTTCTGACCATGAAAGTCCCCCTAAAATCTCCATCTACTGGGTAGCATGGCATCGGAGCAGAGGGAACGGAGACAAAGGGCTCTTTCCATGGTGATGGAGAGCAGAAGGGAGCCTTCTATTGTCCTGTCCCCTCCCCCTGGTTCTGGTTCTGCCCAGGGCCTCGTTCCCACCCATGGTGCTGTACCTTCTTCTCTAAGTCAGGCTCCCTGAAGGTCAAGAGGAACTTGCGGACATGCTCAGACCGCAGCCTGTCGATGCTCCTGGCGTCAATGGCACGGCCCAGAAATTCGTCCACTTCATCCTCGGGGTTTGCACTTTCCTGGGCGTTCCTGGGGAGCAAGACATGCAGACACACAGCAGGCTGACCACCAGGGGGCGCCGCAAGAGGGCCCACTTGAGCCCATGCACCCAGGCCCATTAGAAAGGCCCTAATAAGGGCTGGGGAAGCTGGGACTGAGATCCGGAACCCAAGTCCCCCCGCTTCTTAACTGCACACATGCACAGAAAGCTGCCAGTGTCTGACCTTCTGGCTGAAGGGCCTCGCCGACAGTAAGGCTTTTCTGACTCTACTCATATATTATTATAGTATAATATGACTTATCATCAAAGTTTTCATTGTTTTTCCCCACAGCTAACAGTCTCTGCTCTTCACTCTCCAGCGGTACCGTCATCCTGAAATAAAGGCCAAGATCCGGAGGCAAGACTGCTGCCCCAGGGGCTGTGAGCTACCCCGCTGCTTTAACCCGGCCCAGGGCACCCTCTGGGAAGCAGGTGTCATGATCAGGGTGCCAAACTAAAAGCCCATCACTCAAGGTGATGCCTAGTCCTTGAGTGGGGTTTCTGACAGCCCCCAAGAACCAGGAAATGGAAGAGAAAGAGGAGCACATTCCCTCAAGGCACCAGGATGTGGCCAGACCTGGTGACCAACGTGCAAGGTCTGCATTTTGCTGAGAGCAGCAGGCGCGTGTGTGTGCGTGCACACAGGCGTGTGAAGAGCATGCACGTATGCAGTTGTGAGTGTCCACGCATGTGTTTGTGGGAAGATTACAAACGGGCAGTGCCGAGCCCAGCCTCTCTGCCCTGGGCTCCTGGGCTGCCCATCTGTCAGCTGCAGTGCTCTGGTCATTCTCAGCCAAGGCTGTGTGGCCTCACTCCCCAAGCAATGCGGGGAAACTGAGCTATAAGACGAATGTGGGCCTATCCCCCAGGCCAAGAGAGCAGGAATAAAGAAGGGCATGTTACTCACTTGTCCTTGGGGTCTTCAAAGCCCTAAAAAAGAGGGACAGAGAGAGAAGGAAAGAAGTATGAGAACAGACAGGACGGAGAACTGAGGCTTCCAGAGGGACTACGGGAAGGCTGCAGCTCATTTACTCTCTACGGCTCACCGAGGAGTCTGCACAGAGAGAGGACTGTCACCCAGGAGTTTGTCCTTCCTTCCCTCAGTGAATACAGCCAGGTTCTTCCTATGGGATACGCTCTGCTACGTGCTGGGGGCACACTGTGATTTCATGTCGCCCACTGGCAAAACTCACGTGTCTAAGCTCTTCCTGTCCCCACATCCAATTCCCCAACTCCCCTTGCCCCAGAGCCTGGGCTTCGTGGGTCCCTCTCAATTCTACCACTTATTCAGATGGAATAAGAGAAACCATTAAGTGACCACTGCCCCCACCCCAGCCTCACTGAGCACACAAAATCTGGGAATTCACATGTTTTGAGCTTAAGAAAGTTAAGCTCCAGTTACCTGTAACAGCTTTCCTAGTGTATGAGAACTAGCGTGTTCTTACAAAGCCAGGATTGGTTGGGGTGAGAAACCTGCGTTCCATGGGTTTGACTGCCACTCACATACACAGGGCAGGGGTGAGTGTGACGGTCCCTTACCGGTCTCCAAACTCAAATCCCTATTTATCTACGCAGTCCACAAAGGGACAGATGTGTCTCGGGGTGTGACCAGCTGTGGCAGAATGAAGGGTGGGTTCCCTAAAGTGGCAAAGGGGTGGAATCCAAGAGGTAGTGGAGGAGGTAGCAAGCAGCCCCAGGACTGTGTCAGGTAAGGCTCCAGTTGCCAGGGCAAGGACCGAGTGTGACCTGTGGTCTTTTGGGGCCCAGCGTGGGGCACACTGCTGGGCAAACGTGGAGGTCAGTAAGCGCCAGGTGAACCCAAGGCCAAATGAACACACCTCTCTTTATGCACACTGCAGACAGTTTGAAAATGCAAAAAGCATTCATGAGCCAGAGTTGCCAGGAACTAAAACAGATGTGGGGTCCACACCACACCCCATGTTCTCTTTTCTACCCCCACCCCCAGTGGAGGGCCCCAGGGGCCTCGGCAGCCTCTAGTGGCACATCCAAGTGCCCAACTGTGGACCCTGAGCTCCTCCGAGGATGCCAGACCCTTCTTGTCCTCTGAGAACCATCGGGCCCTCTGTCCAGGCTATAAGACCCGGCCCACTTCACCATCCCAGCCCCAGGCTGGAGGAGTTGGTGTTAGTCAAGTGGGTGCTCCGCCTAGGGAGCAGGCCCAAGCTGGGTGCTCCCCGCGATCCCTCAGAGCACGAGCTTGAGTGGGCAGCACAGGGCCTGGACAGGCCAGCTCTCCGCAGAAAATGGTGAGGCGCTGGCACTGAATTCCACCATGGGGGCCAGCAAGGATTTTACTCCGGGACTGAGGACAACCAGGCTGTACTGTGCTCATGCAGGTCTCTGCAGCTCAGAAATCTACCCGACACGTTTTTAACAAACCTATTTCTGACCTTCCCCTACGCTCCTTTGGTCATTTACTGGGGTTGGCTGGGGACTGGGTCTGGTGGATGCCATGTTAGTGTGGAGAGCTCAGCACTGGGTTAGGGTGTCGGCAAAAGACCTTGGCAAATGGTTGTAAAGAACACAGTCCCGCAGATGGGTTCAAGTCTCACGATGTGCTTACTACTTCTAGAACAATGGTCCTCAGCCTGGCTAGGAGGACCCTCACATGGGTTCTGCCACAGCACTTCTGGGGAGCAGCTCAGCTCAGGGGGTCCTGTGTGGTTCCCAATTCCGGTCCCTTGGCCCTAAAAGCAGGAACAGAGGCCACGGCCCCTCGGCTCATCCACACGGAGGTTCGTACGCCCGCTTGGCAAGCTGCTCGTCTCCTCTGGGCACTCGGGCTCAGCCCGCTGCCCCCACAGAATGCAGAGCTTCCCTGGTTAGATGAGCAGATGCCCCTGCATGCTCTTCCTGTCAGCCTTCTTATTAGTAAGTACCCTCAGGGACTTCACAACACTTGTGCCTAAGCACACACCAGAGCAGCTCGTCACTACGTTTTAAAAGCTGAGTAAAAGCCGAAACAAGATTTAAAGAAATAAGAGTGCTGCCTACAGGTTAGTACCTTTCTTAGTGTTCTCAGACACCGCTTAACCTAATCCTCCACCCCCACCATTGGTGGAAGTCAGGGAAGCATCTCTCCTTTTGAGCATCTTTACCAAAGGTTTCAGGCAAGTTTAACACCAGAAGTCAGTGGTGTGCCTGGCGGCTGGCAGAACTACCCCCTCAACAGCCTAGACACTCAGACTGGGCGGGCTGGGGACTGGAACTGGTCCTTTGACGCCAAGCCTCTGGCGACTCTGCCCGGCCAGGATGAGGGATGGGAGTCTCTTCTCCCAAAGGCTGCTGCAGAGGCGTCCCCAACCCTGTTCTTCCACACACCTTCCCATCCCTCTGTGCTGGCGAGGCAGCTGATGCCACGGAGGAGCCTGGCAGCCAGTCTCCCCCGAGACGGCCCTTTCCCCAGTTACAGCCCTTCCGCTGATGGTTCCAAGGCTCCTGGTCCTAACAATGATTAATGCATCTGCTAAACCGGTGCTTATGCTCCAAACTGTCTCCTTTGGGACTCTGAAATAACTGAAGACTCTGCTTACACCAAGTATCTCCAAAGAAAAAAGCTTTCCAACAATTTTAAACAGAGAAAGCCCACCAGGCACCTTTCCTGCCTGCTTGTGGCTCTTCTTCCTCTCCTCTCCCCGCCTAGTCTCCTGCTCAGCTCTGTCCTCTCCCTCCTGTCTTTCTGCTCCTCTTCCCTCCCACCTGGATGAGAGCCTCCCTCTTTGCACCCAGCTCTCAGTGGCCCCACACTATGCTCACCCCCTCTGGACCCAGTCACATGGATACAGAATCCACAGCAGATTATTAAAGGGCTAGGGTGAGAACAAAGAGGTCCACCGACTGCTCTTTGCCTTGAGGAGGGCCCCCCAGGGAGAGGGAATGTGGCTAGTGGCCTGGGCGGCACTGGCCAGACCTGTGAAGTCCAAGTTCAAAGCCCTGGGGGAAGGCTGGGTCCCTCCCACTCGGTTCCCTCATAACCTTCATGTCCTGCCAAGTTGCTTCTTGACTGTCAAAAACTAAAATAGAGGTCTTGACTCAATTCATTTTTTGATCTTACACATTTTCCTTGAACCTCTGTCATCTGCTATTTGCCAGTTAGCAAGCAGCAGAGTGGCTGGGTCCCCAGCCTGTCCCTGGCTCAGTCAGCTGACTCAGCTGGATTTTCATGGAGTTTATCTCTAGTCCCTGCTGCTGTAGCTAAAACCTGCTCCAACCTACAGACCCCAAATTGGGGATCCTAGTGCTGGCGCGCCCCACCTCATTCTTCTACCCTGGCGCGTGCATGTGCGCGCTCTCTATCTCTGTCTCTGTCTCTCTCTCTCTCTCTCTCTCTCTCTCACACACACACACACACACACACACACGGCTCCCCACACCCTGCTGCTTCACCCACCCCTCTCTCACGGTGGGCAACTCCCATGGGAACCAGGCTGCTTGTGAGCCAAGGAGTTTGTTCGGACATGGATGCCAAACTCTTTGATAAAAACAAAGAAAAACACTGCTGCCAGACCCTGACTTCTGTTACCCCTCTCCCTCTTCCTCTCACCCTCTGAATTCTTTGTCATCACTGACAGAACCCAGGCAGCACATCCTGAATTAGCCTGTTCTTGGTGTGTGTTTAGGGACAGTGGGGGGGGGGGGCCGGGGGGGGTGTCTGTCCTCCAAGGCAGTTGGGGCCCCGTGTCCCCCACCCCTTCCATGGCCTCTGCTCACCCTGCAGAGTGCCCCGCAGTGAGCAGGGGCACTTCTCAGCACAGAGGGCAGAGGGGACCATCACCTGGCACTTCACCAAAAAGTGCTGAGATGGTCTCTGAGCAACTGAGCCAAAGGATGTGTTTCAGCTGCCCAGGAAGGGCACCTGATAAGCTGGTGCCCACCAGACAGTGCCAACAGACCACTGGAGGCTCTGGCTGGACTCAGGGGCTGCTTCCAGCCTGTGGGACTCATGGAGAGAGCCCAGGGCCAGAAATCAGGCACTCTGGCTCCTAGTCCAAAGTGGATTCTGTGGCTCTCCAGGTGCCATCAGGCAACACAAGGGGCCTGACCCCGTCCTCACATTCAAGGAAGGCCCTAGCCCTGGAGAGTACTGCCCACCCACTGTTCCCCCTGCTACTCACCATCCGCTTCATCTCCTTGGACACCTGGTTGCCCCCTAGGTGGTTATAGAAGGGACGCTCAGCCCCCCAGTGAGGCGGGTTGTGCCCAATGGAGTTGGTTCTCTGACGATTCATCTTGGCGATCATGGCCTTTTCTTCTTTCTGGGAGAGCCAAACACATGCATCAGTCTGTGGGCAGAGCCTACCAGGTGAGCCCAAGTGGGCAGTTTCTCATGGCTCCCAGGTGCCTGGCCAGGTAGGGGCTGAGGCAGGTGCCCCTCTCTTCTGTGCACATCCTGGAGCCTAGACATCTGCCAGGATCCTAGAGCTCACTGGAGAAAGCATCTTAAATCCCTCCAAATTCCCCAACATAGCCCTAGCTGGCTTAGTTGGGAGGTTGGTCTTATGAGAAAGCAAAGAGGCTTTCCCAATTGTCATTGGCATAGAATTGTCAGGGGTGGGCAGAGCTTGGGTCTGAGGTGCTCAAGGTGAAGGAGAGAGAAGAAACCTAGGATTCCAATCCACTCAACTTATCCCAAACAACCATGTTCTGCCAGAGGGTGCAGTAAGACAGGCCCTGCTGCCCAGAAGGCAGCTCGGAGAGGTTTGGGTCACTAGAGCTTGAGATGCAAAGGCCGACAGACATTGTACAAATACACAAGCGGGGCCTCAGCTGGCTCCCCACGTGCCAACCATCATCTCTGTCTGTCCATCCATCCAATGGGCTCCAGGTGGAGGGCCAGAGAGGCCCTGGGGAGACCTGAGGCAGCCTTCCCCTCAATTCCCTCTCTGAGCCTGGGAAGGGAGCCCATAAGACCAGGGACACAGAGGGGAGGGGACACAGCCTGCTTCAGCTGACATTGCTCTGGATACGGGGTGTCACTCTCTGTCTCCATTTCATCCTTTCTGGACCGCTTGTCAAGAAGCTGGAAGAACACACCCCATAGAACCCAGGGTAGAAGGTAACAGCTCTCAGCCTGGGTGGGGCAGGAAGGTGGGACTGAAGACCTCATCAACCTAACAGAGGGGAGGGGGTGGGAGGAAGGCCGGGAGGAGGTCAGTTCACTTGAACTATAGTCAAACAGCAAGCAAATGTTCAAAAATGTGACAAATAAGCCACCAGGTGCTCTCCCCAGAATGTATAAATCCTCCCATCCCTCTTCATGGTCTGTGGGGGGCCTGGCACAGCTCCCTGGAAGGGGCCCCACAGCCAGGACCTGTCTCCGGGGCTGCACTGCTGCGGCGATGAGGTGCCTGTGTGATGTCCCTGTCAGGGTGGACACCTGTCCCAAGGAGCCCTGTATCCCTTTAAAAATCAACCTCTGCTGTCGCTCAACACTTTCTCTGGACTTTTCTCCCAGCTTAATTTTATCTTTAGTCTAATGTCTTTTTTAAAAATTTTTTTTAATGTTTATTTATTTTTGAGAGAGAGAGAGAGAGAGAGACAGACAAACAGAGCATGAGCAGGGAAGGGGCAGAGAGAGAGGGAGACACAGACTCTGAAGCAGGCTTCAGGCTCTGAGCTGTCCGCACAGAGCCCAACACGGGGCTTGAACTCATGAGCCATGAGATCATGACCTGAGCCAAAACCAAGAGTCAGACGCTTAAACGACTGAGCCACCCAGGCACCCCTAGTCTAACTTCTTAAGAAAGGAAGAGGGAAGATTTCTCTGTCAAAAGGTTCTGACCAACAGGTCAGTTCAATGGAAAGATTCATCAGTAAAAGGCATTTTAATCTAGGGAGAAATAGAAAATGTTCTCTTCATTCACTTTAAAAATTAAGAACATGGAACATGACACTATTAAAAATAGAATGCCAAAGTCTGCTAATAATTCAGTTTTATATTTGGGCAAGTGTGGGATGGGACAAAGTGAGGGGGAAGAAGGGGACTATAAGGTGAAAGAGGGAAAGAACAGAGGTCCTCTCGAGAAATAAAGGTCTGCAGGGACAGAGACCTATTGAGACGAAGAGATAGGGAAGGAACGAATCCACCTAGTTCACGCAACAGACAAGGAGCAAGGCAGAGATGAAACCAATGGCTGGAGATACAGTAGATGGCGGACAGACCTCCTAGTTGTTTTATTTCCATGCCCTGGCCTACTGCTGTGTTGCTAACTGATTTGAGGCCTGTTGCATTTTTGCAACAGAAGCAAAATGAAAACATTCCCTCTTCGCTGTCAGCCGTCACAAGGCCTTTCTAACTCTCATGTCCTTCCCGAGATGCAGGAACCACGACCGTGTGAGGAATTCACGACTTGACTCAAGGGAAGAGTGAGAAGACAAGGAAGCGGCTGCCAAGAAACATTCCTCCCCAGAAGAAGAAGGCCGCGCAACCCCTGGAGCCCTCCCCCGCCCACCTGGCCCACCCGGTCCACCCGGCCCCTCAGCCCTTGGCCCAACCCGCTTCTGGGTGCAGCGCAGGATGAGGAAGGTCTCAATGCTGTGCTCCTTGAGGTAGGCGTTGCGCTCGCCCCCACAGCCTGGCTCCACCTCGTAGTCACCATTCAGGTAGTTGAGTGTGGCCTTGGTGATGTGGATGCGCCTGCAGGTGGGGAGAGATGCAGGCAGAGCAGGGCAGAAAACATGACTTCAGAACTCCAGTCCCCACACAGAACCACACTGCAACTGACTTGGCCACAGTTCAAACCCCAGGGCCCGAACCCTGGCTCAGATGCTAAGCCCAACTTAGATCCCAGCCTCAACACACTGCATCTCTCCACTGTTCAAGGTAGACCCCTTCCCACCTGACCACACCACATCACATCTACGTTATGTCATCCTCATCACAGAATACATCATTAGCCTGTCAGGAGGACACAGTCTCAGTCTCACAAATCTCACAAACCCGCTCAGGAGCCAGCAGTGGCTCTGGCTGAGTACACGACTGAGTCCAGATCCCCCAGCCTGGCACGAATGTTCTTTTAACACAGGCACTGTTTTTCCCGCTGGTCCCTAAGCGGTCATGTGCTCTACTTCCATTCCTTGGAAATACCGTGTTTCCTATACCTGTGCCTGTCCTCACTGTAGTCTCTCAGCCTGGCCCTCCCTCCACTCCCACCTTCCTCACCTGTCCGAATCCCACCCAGTCACCCTGGCCAGCTCACATCCTTTCCATCCTGGCCACCCCTGAAAATTACCCACAGTTCCTCCCTCCTCCAGAACTCTACCCCATCTATCACATCACACAACAAGTTGCCCTATTTTGTGCAAATATCTTCTGGGTAAAGCCCGGGCAAAGGTTGAGAGGCTGCTCCCTACAACTTGCCATGGTGTGGTGCAAGTAATTTGTTAAGGAGAGGACCATCTACTAAAATTCTGCCAAACCCATCCTGCCCACCCCCTGCCCCATGCCTTGGGACAGTCACCCTGAGTGGGGCTGGGTGGGAAGCGAAGTCTGGGCCCTCACTCACCCTGCCTTGCCTCCAGCTTCCATGTGGTTGGCCAGCGTGACGTCATTAGACCAGACGTCGAACTGCCACTTCCTGAGACCAAGGACACCGCAGTGTACTCGCCCGCTGTGAATTCCCACGCGCATGTTCACGTTCACCCCAGTCACCTCCCGGACCAACCTGGGGATGGAGCAGGGGTAAGGCTGGGAGAGGGTCGGGGTCCAGGCACACAGAGTGGGGGCGGGGCTGGAAGGCACGGGGTCGGGGGTGTGACAGAAGGTGCAGGGGTCAAAGAGTCATTTCTCTCTGGTCCAGCCCAAATTCAGAGTCTGAGACTGTTCCACCCGACGGGCACCGCACAGGCTGGGCCCTGGTGCTCAGGTGCTGTAAGTGAGGCGTTGCTTCCCGGCATGGCCACAAGGGGGCACAGCGCCTCACGCTACAACCCAGGACTCAGGACTCCCTGCTTCCCCACTAAGGTAACTAAGGTTCTCTGTGCTACCCTCAAGTCAATTCAGCTGTGTTCCGCATATTAGTGCCCGTCCGAGACAGGGAAGTTATAGCCGCTTCAAACCCCATTCATAGAATACTCGGATCTGTCCACATTGCTGCTGCTTCTTGGACATTAGCAGGATAACGGAGAAAGGTGGTTAACTATTTCAAGAGAGGACACATGTCCTGCTCAGGAGAGAAGGGGAGCCTGAGCAGGTGCGGGGGATCAGGGATGTTCCATGTGCTGGAAGACAGCACCAGTCCCCACCGCGGTGGCACATGCACCACACCCTGGGGCACAGGGGCCTCTAGTAGATGGGTGGGCCCTCTGCAGGATGGAGAGTGTGATGGAAACTCTATTGCTCTGGGTATATGTCTGAGGCGCAGGGTCTGCAGAAGAGGGTACAGGTGCTTGCGGGGGGAGGGGGTACACAGTGTGTACTCTTTAGGGACCTGGATACTCTCTGATACCCTGGGATAGATCTACTCAGGCAGCTGTGGGACCAGCAGTCTGACCTGGCCTAGAGGGCAGGACCACCATGTGGACACTTGCCCTCCTCACCACCTCACAGGCAAGAGGCTGACGCCTGACACAGGAAAGACTGATGTCATTCATCATTGCTCTTGTCCTGGGATACCTCGGCTGTGGCTGCGCCTTCCATCCACAGTGCCTCCGGCCCCTTGCTTAGGTTGGTAACATCTCATTCCGCCTTTCTGTCTTAACTCTGGGGCCACTTCCTACAAGAAGCCTCTCTTGGTCTTCCCAATGGAAACAACTGACCCTTCCTGGACCCTCCCATCTCGATTTGCCTCTCCCACCTGGTGGCGACTGCTCGGCATGCCTGGTATCACAGCAGCGGGAGTCCCAGCCTCTCCCTCAACAGACTCCATGCTTCCAGGCAAGGGGGGGAAGCACTGACTAGCCCAAGCACGCAGGGGCAGTCAGTAAACACTGCAGAAAGGAACTCCACCAAACCGAATGGACTCCACCACCTTCCTGGACAGCTACTCTGACTTCTGACCTTGCCCACTGTGGCTTTTCCTTTGCCCCTCCCTGGCTACTTCTGAACCTCGAAATTCCTGAGCCTAAGCTTGGATTACCCATACCTATTCATGACTGGACCTCCTTCTCTGGCTAGCAGTGACCAAGAATTGGCCAAAGATCTTTTTTGCTATTGCTCCCAGGAAGGACGGGACACCTGTTTGCATCCAATTGCCCTATTGTGTTACCCTGGGGAGCTGTTTAACCCCTGTGAGTCCAACCTTACTCATCTGGAAAGAAATGGGACCAATGGGCTCTGCCCCTGGCTGGGTAGTCGTGGGACCTAAAAGACTAGGGTGCAATGCATTGGACCAGCACGACGGCCACCTGGTCCTCCTCTCTTGCAGAGGTGAGGCCACATCTCCCGCTACCCTGGAGTCTGCAAACCCCTCCTCTCCTAGAGGACATGTTCCCCTGGGAAAAGCTTCCTAGGCTGCTGTGGATAGAAGTTGCCCAGGAGAAGGCTCAAAGTCTAGAGGTGCAAATCAGCCCTCCAGCATGGCCACGGGGCCTTGGGAGACAGCTTTGCCCCAGTTTCCCTGCCTCCATTAGTTCCACCTGGAGGCCAGTGGGTCAGTTACTCAGGCTGTGGGACAGCACCCCCACAGATGGACAGTCCCCCCGCAGACTGGCACTTACGAGATGGCCTCAATCATGTCCATGCCCATCTCCACGCAGCAGTGAGCGTGGTCAGCCCTCGCTTCAGGCAGCCCAGAGACACAGTAATAACAATCCCCCAGGATCTTAATACGTAAACAGTGATTCTCCTGGAAAGCAAATTAATTTTAAAAATTAAAAATAGTAGGAAAGAGAAGTGGGAGGGAAAGAAACGGGAAGCAAACAGATTCACCCCATGCCTGGAATAACTTGCCTTTTAGGGCAGTGAGCACAGACCCAGTGCCGGCAGATGCATGGCCCCAGCCCCAGGACAGGCTTATCGGGACTGGCGGGTAGTGGGGGGGGGGGGAGCGGTGGAGGACAGGCTGAGCAGCCCTCACAGAGGCATTCCAGCCTCCCCAGGCTCAGGAACTCACTTTTATGGTCACTGCTGAGACCCAAGAAGAATGCAGTTGGTCTGATGAGGGAGCAAACAGGGCAGACTCATCAGAGTGAAAAAGGTCCCAAGTTGAGAGCCAGCCCCTGGTTCTATTGCCAGGCCCCAGAGAACGCTCTGACTCTTGGCCTAAGGTTCTACGGACAGTTTGCTGATTCTCCTTCTTTTACAAAAAGACTGAAGCAGAAATGAGACCTAACCAAAGCTCATCTGACCCTCAGCCTGAGACTTACACCAAAAAGAATGCTGCTAAACCAGCAAGCACATGAGCGCTAAGATACCCACAGAGCTGAAGCACCCGCCCACTGCTGCTCCTGAACAGAGGAACTGGCAGGGTCACCCGACAGTCAGGGTGACCCATGACTAGGGTTGGGATGGGATGTCGTTAGTCACCAATTCTCCAAATCTGGCCCCTAGAAGTTACTCCATGAAGCGGGATGCTAGGACACACCAGTCCGTGTGGCCTGGACTCTCATTTAAGGCCCCCCCAAAATCCAAGGGCCCAGCATACACCCACTCGCCCCACCCACGTTCAGTGATAGAAACAACCAGTGAGGTGTGAGACCCGCCATCTAATGCCCTTGGCGGCCCTGCTGCCGCCTCTGACCAGCACTGGCCTCTCATCAGTGATCTGGTCTGGTGTCCTGAGAGGGCAAAAGGGAACGTGTCCACGTCGGTGATACCGCAGCAAGCAGCCCCTGACGTGCAAGGACTCTACAAAGGTCCAGAGCATCACTCAAAGGCACGAAAGCTGGGAAAGGATGACAGTGTCAGCAAGGGCCTAACGAACGAACGCACCGTTCACCACTCCAGGCCCCGGGGTGCTACTTCCAATTTGCCAAACAGTGCAGCATCCTCTTTCCGGAAGCCTATAGGGGGTGGCACATAGCTGTCTGCAGGCCAGTTGCGACTCAGACTCATTCTCTTATCACTGGCCAACCTCATCAAGAAAATGGCTCTATGGCACCTAATTTGCCGACCAAACAGAAATTCCTCAGGGGCCTGGGCAGTGTTACCTGCGGGCCTTGCCGCACCCCCCTCCTCAGATGGAGGGCTCGCCCACTTGCCCCCACCGTGACCAGTGACAGTGTAAAAGTAAGGTGTGAGGATATGCAGCCACAGCCCGTGCAACCCCTCTGCCCCTCCCCAGTTCTCAACAGTGGACTCTGCCCAGCAGGGCACACGCTGGCACAGTGCCTGTCCCTGGGGTTCGGCGAGTCCTTGGCCACAGCACTCTCCCTCAGGCAGCCCAGATGGAGCCACCCTCTGGCTCCAGCACAGGCCCTTGGGTGCTGAGGACAGCAGGCAGGAGACTCACCGCAGCCAGCTTGTCGAAGCGGGCGAAGAGCTCGTTGAGGGTCATGACTAGCTCCTGGGCAGTGCACTGGGACGCCAGGCTGGTGAAGCCCTCGATGTCAGCAAACAGGATGCTGGGGAGACAGGTGGAGGAAGACCCCCATGAGAGAGGGAGTTCAGGGGGACACAGCCAGGGCCACCCTCTGCCTTAGGAGAGCTGTTGGCCAGAAAGAGTCCAGGTGCAGGCAGGGGCAGGCGGGGGGCTCCAAATGGCTGCTGGGGAGCAGATCAAGAGCCCTGGCACCAGAGAGTTGAGGATGCTGGCCTCTCCGTGCTGGCCGGGAGATATGCTAGAGTCCCGCTTCCTGTGCTCTAATTGTGCCCTCACTCCCACTCAGGGGGAAAGATGGGACAGAGGCATATGAAGTCTGGGAGTATGCATCTGCCTGAGTTACCAAAGTCAGGGGCCTGCCCCCCTCCCCCAGTTCTGTCACCTCTTGGGCCTGCCCTGTTTAACTCCTGAGCAAACCCCTCAAGGTAACTGGGGCCTTTGATTCATCTGCTTGGAAAGTGTTTCAGGCCTAAAGGGCAGCCATATTAAGGTCTCACCTCTCCACCCTACAGATAGGGTTTTAGACCCCAAGCCCTCCATCCCAAGGGAGTCCTCTAGAAGGGACAGACTAAAGCGGCCTAGGGGAGAGAGACAGAGAGGAAGACACAGCCAGCAAGCTTCTCTGGAAGCCTCCAACTCATCCCTGCCAGCAACTTCAGCCTCATCCCCAGGCACGTAGTCAAATGTACCAGCCGTTCCCCGCAGTGTGCATTGTGGATCTTCTATCCGTTTCTCTGGCTTTTGTTCAGGAGACTGAAAACGTCTTCCTTTTCTCCTACAGCACATTGCCAGAGGTGAGTCCTCAGGGCTGGAATGTGTAAGAGCGCCGAGAGTTGTTTTCTTTCCCCCCAGGATGGACACAAAAATGTAATCACTCTCAGGTACTGAGATGCTCCCGGTGGCCCGGCTCACGGCTGGGAGTTTCCAAACTGTCTTCTCACCAAGTCCTCCAGGCAGCCCCAAAGCCAAGGCTTGGTGTCTTCTCACAAATGAGGAGGCTGCGCCTCCGGGAAGAAGCAGCAGACAGCAGTGCGGTGGGCTCCTTCGCCCAGGCCCGCGCTCTCCCCACCGCACCGCGAGGCTCTGAGGCACCTGACTCTTCCTTTTTCAAATGAAGAGCGTAGAACTAAACAGATTTTGTCATTTTATTTGGAAAATGTGTGTTGGTAAATTAAGCTTGTCTTTCTATCCTGATGCTTGATCTCTGGGGCCTTACTGACCCTGGGGAGCCTGTCTCACCCCGGCTAGGCTTTCTTGGAGATAAGTCAAAACTCACGCTGGGGTCAGAGCCCCGCACCCCAACCAGGCTCTCACACCCGGGCCACTACTCCCCTGCCCTAATCACCCCAGGGACAAGTACCGGACCCGAGATAGTCCCTCTACTCCACAGCCTGATGAAATTATTCAAACTAGCCCATCCCAAACCTGCTTATCCTGCCTCACCCATTCCTTTCCGCAGAAACCCCAATAAACGCTCTCGTCCACAGTGCCCTCTCACCCTGCCTCCCGATCCTCCACAGCGCTTCTGCACATGGCCCCCATGGTGTGTGCTGTGCTCCCTTCTCTTGGGATGAATAACAAACGATCTTTTCAATGGCAGCTGCCTCCTGATCTATTTGCCTTTGTACACCTGGATAATAATAAAACCTACCTTTTAAAACAGCTGGACACTGTTCTGAGCACTTTGTGTGCATTAACTCACTTAAACATCATGACCATCCCATGAGGTTAGTATCTTCCTTTTACAGGTGAGAAAACAGACACAGAGAGATTGAGTCACTTGCCCATGGCAACCTGGCCAGGCTGTTGGCCCCACAGCCAACTTAAACCAATAAAAGCATAATTCAGTGGTCTGGCATTGTATATGGGGCAGAGAGGGGCAGAGGGGCATTGTGGGTAGGCAAGTCCAGGACTCCATCAAGAGGGGGCATGGTTAGCAGCTGCTTGCCAGCTCACACGAGGTAAGGTGGAAGCAGAGACGAGCCAAATGGGGGGAAAGAAGAAAAGCTGAGGAGAAAGAAGAGGAACGGAGAGGAGATACACTGCTCCATCAGGCCACAGGACTAAGAACAGCAGACAGACTGCTTCTGAGTGGACAGCTATGCAGGCAGGGGCTCAGGAGATGCAAAGATTTGGAGTCTCCATCAGGCTTTGATGCCTGGGGTCTGACGGGGCAGATGGGCTCAGCACCCTGCCCAGAGGGAGTGCATGGTGTCTGCATGCTGGGTAAGAGGAGCAGGTGAGGGGAGGCCGCTACGCTCCAGATGCTGATCTCAGGCCCTAACTAGGTGCAGCCCCCTCCCCACCCACCTGCTGCTTCTCCAGCTCTCAGTCTCTTAGGCAACTGCCCCACTCCATTCAAGAACAAGGGAACCAGCTCTCTCAGTCTATGTGAAAGCACCATCACATAGTTGCTCTGGAAATTCTTTAACTCTCAAGACACCAAAGCCAATTGAGGTTGGGATCAAGACCTGTTGCTCCAGAGTTAAGAAACATATGCATTCAGCTCAAGTCAGTTTTTCAAATGCAAAGCCAGGAGATACCAGGCCCAGCGGCAGCTCCATGCAGAGTAAAGCTACGGAGCAGACGCCTGGCCTCGGGGGCTGATGAGACCCCCACAGCAGGAAGAGAAAAACGTCCCTGAACCCGAACCGAACCCAGCAAGGCAGGATGACTACTACTAGGGTCAGGTAACCCACAGCGCCGGGCCAAAAAGAGGAGTGGAGGGAGAGAATGGGCTGCCCCTAGAATCAGGAGTGTGGACCAGGGGTTCAGAGGGCGAGTACAGGATCCATCAAGAGGGGGCACACTCTGTAGCTGTGACCCCCACACCTGCGGAGCTTACCTAGCTACTCAGGAGGGACACTCTGACAGGGCTGGCCGTGGGCAGGCCTGCCATTGTTCTCCTTCTCCATAGGGGACCTTGCTGGGCCTTAGAGCACTGTCCTCCACAGCTGCTCACATCCTGCTGGACCAGTGGGCCTTAGACTTGGTGTCTGTTAGAAACACCAGGCACTTTCACAGGAGTGGTCCCTGAGCCCCACCCCCAGAGATTCTGGCTTAATTAGCCTGAGGTGGGGCTCTGCTCTTGATGGATTCTGTTCCGTTTTGTTTTATTTTAAGCTTCCCTGGTGATTCTAACATACAGCCACGGTTGAGAGCCACTGCACTAGTTTAAATGTCACTTCAAGGAGACCTTCATCACCCTATGTGAATCTATAACCCCTCCCATGTCTGTCTCCCTTCCCTGCTGTATTTTTCTCCACTGTACATTTCACTGTTTAATATATTATTGCGGGTGTTTTTGTTATTATTATGCTCCTGTCTCTCTCTGTCCTCGCTAGAATGCAAAGTCCTTGAGGGAGGGATTTTGGCCTCGTCCATTCACTGCCACATCTCAGCTACCAGCACAACGTCTGGCACATGGAATAAATGTTCAGTAAAATTCACAACTGGATAACCCTCTGACTGAGGACGGGTCACATCCCCCTCGCCCTCTGCCTTATTCCCCATCCTCCCCCGCCCCCGCCCCACCCTGCACAATGCCCAGCCCGCAGAAGCTGCCTCTATTAGTCTCCTGCCATAGCAAAGTACTACAAGCTGCGTGGCTTGAAACAACAGAAATGTGTTCTCTCACAGTTCTGGAGGCTAGAGGTCGGAAATCCAGCTGTCACCTGGGCCGTCCTCCCTCTGAGACTCTGGGTAGGACCCTTCCTCGCCTCTTCCTACTTGCTGGTGGTGGCTGCCCACCCTCGGTATTCTGGGACTCAGGAGCTCTGTCACTCCAGTCTCTGCCTCTGTCCTCACACAGCGCTGTCCCTGTGTATCTGTGTCTTCGTCTTCTTTTAAGGACACCACTTATATTGGATTAGGGGCTCACCCTACACTAGCATCCTAATCTGATTTCATCTGCAAGGACCCTATATCCAAATAAGGCCACATTCACAGGGACCAGGGGTTAGGACTCCAACATATTTTGTAGGGAGACACAGTTCAACCCATAACAGAGCCTAATATAGGTTTGTTGAATGGAAGAGAATATGCACAGTTTGAATACAAGCAAGAGGCAAGGCCAGCAATTCCAACAGTTCTTCCTTCGACCCCATGGGGCCTCTTGGGATCCCAAGCAGGTTGCCTGAGACAGGAGCCTGTGGAGCCCAGGGCCTGGCATCAGCAGACACCACAACGACATCCACGGGATAAATGGTAGAATGGTTGCAGAGGCCATGAGCAGCTTCCTGGTTAATGCCAGGAGGTGTCGGAAACAACATCGACCACGCCAGTGTGTGAGGGGCCTGCAGGTGGCTGAGAAAGCCAGAGCCTCCCTCCAGACTGCTGGGATCTACTCTTTGTACCCCCCCCCTCCACCCCCACTGCCGCCGCCGCCTGGGGCTTTCAACAGACACTGAGGAGTCAGAGAAGGTAGGCTGCTGGCTGGCTGACGAGTGGGTGGTGAGCCAGCCTGCTGGAGAGGAGAGGCTCAGAGCAGGCTCCGCACTTGTGCAGAGGTTTGGACAGGGTCTCTGAGGTCCCAGCTCTGAACATTTATGGAAATTCTGCCACCTCCACGTTCCCCCCACCTCCTGTCAAAGGCAAAGTTACCCTCCTCTGCTGCCTTGGGGGAGGCTTCTACTCAGCGGCTGTCACTCTGGAAGCTCCTCTGTTTTTGAGGTTGACCCAACTGCAGACTTCTCCTGGCCAAGGTTTCCTGATGTGCTCCTTGGTAATCCTCAGGGCCATTGTACGGCCACGCCAGGCCCAGACCTGCAGTCCGGTGTTCGTTCATTGATCAGCTCCCACTTGAGAGCTCATCTCGGCAACGCAATCAGGCCCTGGCGGTGGGCACGCGGAAGCAGGGTCGGCCGGCCCTGGCAATGCACTCCTCCCTAATTGCCTGCCATCCATCACTTGTGGTTGCCCACCTCCTACTCCAGAGGCAAGAGCAGGCAGGCACTTCAGCCCAATTACCACAATAGGTCCTTCAGTGTTCCGTCGCAGCTCGGCTCAGCTTTTCCACACGTA